TTAACGCTACTTATTTTTTCCTAAGAAGCGATTGGCATGTGTTTTGAAAATTTATAGGATTCATCGACTTTCATCCATGATTTGAATATTCACTTGGGGCTCATACTAACATTAATACTAATAACACAATAATTCGCATTCACACGTTGGAGCCACATATTGGTATTGGCCTACATTGGCCCAATATCTGAGTGCGATATTAGATTCACAATACTCCATTCGCTTTGCTGTCATAAAATTGTATCTCAAACCTATGTAATTCTTCATTCAGGACAGTAAATTGAGGTATACAGGGTGTTTCACAACTTATCCGACAAATTTTAACCACATATTATGCACTGTTACGAAAGATGTTGATTTCTCAAAAAAAAGTCCTACAAAAATTAAGTTATAAACCTGAGTTTCCATACTAAATTGAAAAATAAATATCTGTATTTTGTGTTCATCGTCATGAGATTAATAATTTATTGTAGCAAATGTAGCAAACAACAGATGAAAACAAAATTTCGGGAATTTTTTGTGTTTTCATATTGATAAGAACGTGTAAATAAGGTTTAATCTGTATCGTGGGTGATCTGAATGAAGATCTGTCGATTTTTGTGTTAAGTAAGAGAGTATTTTGCGAGTTTGTGTTTTAAGTTATTTATTAATAAAAATGGCACACGTGTACACTAATGAGGAGCTGATGGGCAAAGCTTTAGCGCACGGAGAAGCAGGACAAAATTCGTGAGCGACTTCTCGTTTGTATGCAGACCGATTTCCGAATAGGTATATACCACATCACGATACATTTAGTTCAATTGTTTTACGTGCACGTGCTAGTGGAGGTTTGCGCCCCAGACGTGGAGTGGATGAGGGTCGGGTTCGTCCACAACGCGTTTTAAGTTCCGAAGGCGAAATTTTGGTATTGTGGAAGAAAATGCGGGAATAAGCACAAGGCAGTTAGCCCAACAGGTCCCAGAAGTGTCACCGGCAACAGCGTGGCGCATATTACATGAGGCCCAACTGTAGTACCCTTATTACGTCCAGAGAGTCCAGGCGTTGCTACCTACAGACTATCCCCTAAGAGTAAGGTTTTGTGAGTGGTTGTTGCAAGAAGATGCTCGAAATGCCCGTTTTACAGATGACATTTTGGCCACCGATGAGGCTATTTTTACTCGTAATGGGATAAACAATCTTCATAATACACACGTTTGGTCCTTTGAGAATCCTCACGCAGTGGTCCAGACACACTTCCAACATCGTTTTTCTTCGAACGAGTGGACAGGTATTGTCGATTAAAGTCTAACTAGACCGTTCATATTGCCAGATCGGATGGATTGTCACCAGTATTTGGAATTTCTTCGGAATGATTTGCCGGTCCTTCATGAAGATGTGCCATTAGCGGTCGTAGCACGGATGTCATTGCTGCACGATGGGGCACCTCCGCATTTTCGTTTAGAAGTTCGTGATTTTTTTAATCAGGTATACCAGATACGCTGGATCGGAAGGGGTGGACCAACTGCAAGGCCTCCTCGGTCTCCCGATCGAAATCCTCTAGACTTCTTTTTATGGGGATACTTGAAAAACGAGATATACCGTACTACAGTTCAGAATATTGATGAATTTCGTGACCGAATCACAGTGGCTGCCGATAATTTGAGCCTTCAGGCACAGCAGGAAGGAGGTGTATTTGAATTAGTGCGCCGAAATTGGATTAGACGCGCCCAAGCTTGCATTTCAGTCAATGGAAACAATTTTGAACAGCTGTAGGACTTTTATTACATTTTATTTGAGAAATCAATTTCTTTCGTAACAGTGCATATGTGGTTAAAATTTGTCGGATAAGTTGTGAAATACCCTGTGTTTTTTGACATCATAAGAAAACAAGGGTCGTAAACACCAAATGCAGTATCCTGAATTCATCGGTAGTCTTTTGACACTAAGCCCGCCATACTAGCGTTAAACCTATCTGACACCATAGTGTTGCTTAAAACGTTGTGTATGTGTGTGTGTCTGTTAGACAATGACTCCAATTACAGAAAACGCTAGTAATTCAAAAGGCATTCATCTTGTTACATATCAGTACTGTGAACAAAGAAACAGACACTTTATCTCAGAATTCATGACTACCTCTCGTATAATGTATGTTCTAAAAGTTTTAGCACAAAATTCATTGGCTTTAATTTTAACAGACATAAAATAATATCAAGTTGCCCCTGGAAACAACAGTTTGTTTACTTACTTTACTGTCAGTTGACAATTATTTATGTTGAAGTTATCGCTTTAAGATGTCGTATAAATTAGAAATAGGAAAAAGTATCTACAAGTTGGTTTGTCGAGTTCACAAAACTGAAATCTGTCAAATATTCCAGAATGAAAACATTTCTCGCAGGACCATTTGTCGAACAATAGCGGAGTGCGAGCAGGGAATAGTATGTCTGAATCTCCCAAAAAGTGGAAGATCACAGGAATTTACTGCACAGAGGTCAGAGAGATTGGTGAGAAGGGCAAAATTCAGGTTGGAGTGACAAAAGGAGACGATCTCGTTGAGATTGAGGAGGAATGGTCCTAAATATCGAAAGAGACTTAAGTGCCCCAAATACTCTCAAGCGCAACTCCTTCGTATACCAAGATGCTGTCGTCAACTGACGCGGATACACTTTTCCAATAGAAAACTCATTATCTTAGATGACGAAAAGTATTTCACTTTGAGTAATTCTGAAATAAAGGGAATCGATGGACTTTATACGGAAAACGAAGAGAAATTCCCTAACAATGTTAGATACAAACATAAAGCAAAATTTGCGAATAAAATCCTTGTCTGGTGCGTAATTTTTAACAGGGGTGTATCCCAACCTGTTGTGGGTAGAGTGAGGGGTTAAGCTTTGAATAGAGAATATATTGATAACTGCCTGTCCAAATCGCTTCAGTTTGTCCACGAATATCATGCCATACCATATCATATTTTGGCCATTGCCATTACTCAAGAGATACCCAAAACTGTCGTCAACATACCTTTTGTTTCCAAAAACGATAATCCACCAGACTTGCCACAGGCTTAACCAGTAGAGGATTTATGGGCTCTCCTGTCTAGCAAGATTTATCATGGAAGCTGGGAAGCCCAAGAAGGACAACTTAGATGGCAAATTTACGAAAAACTGAGAGAAATTCCGTCTAGGACCTCATGAGAAACATTGGAAGAAAGTTGCGTCAGGTAGTACAGAATGGGCCACTCCACATGATTCGACAGTATAGTTTAGTTAAGTGTTTTATGATTACTAGTTAGTTCATTAAGAAAAAACCTATAAATATTTTGTGCCAAAACTTTTAGGACCTACGGAACTATAGTCTGAACTGGCATCACTTTGTTTTTGTTTTTTTTATCGTGCTATATTTATTAACTTTTCATAGCTCACCTAAGGGATGCTTATTACCGCTTGGTTGGTGTTTTGTACCGCATTAGATACGTAAGCTTGCTCTGGCTTTCATATATTTTTATATAGTTGTTGTCTGTTAAATCTGGTTCTTTAATAAGTTTCTATGAAATATTGCATTTCTTAATTCAGTTTTAAACTTCTTGATATGTATACACGAATTATCTGACCGAGTCAGTCTACTTGCTTTTTAAAAAGATTTATTCTCGATTATCAAAAATACAATTTTATTGATGTATGTAGTATGAGCGCTAACAACAGACTAACTAACTCTGAATACAATAAAATAGGACTGGATAAGGCAAAGCGCTGATCCAGGGAAACTCGATCCTCTTCTTTAATGGTAGGGGTAAATCTTCTGTACTATAACGCCTCCCCTTGTAGATGCAACTTCGAGGGTTAACGAGGAAGTTGCACATTGGAAAGATCAACTTCTTCAATCGGGGTTCTTTGTGGTTTCTTCGGCTTAGTAAAAATCTTCGGAATGATCTTCTTGTAGACAAAACAGCAAAGTAGCAGCAGCAGTACTCCATACAACAGGATTGTCCAAGAACTGGGAATGTGCGACACCTTATGTGAATGGATGTCAACACGATTTTCTATTAATCTTCTTTTTACTTTGTGAACTTCATCAAATTCTATTTGATCTAGATGAAGGCTGAAGTCACTCGGCTTGGTAGCAATTGAAGTATTGCTATCTATGTTTGGAAAAATAATAGGCTGACTTCCAATCGATATAGGCGATTGATTGGCGATCAGGTCTTGATTTAGTTCCAGTGTACAACCGACTGGAATTTCGGCTAAGTAGGATCCCAAAACTTTGACTGTTTCTTGGCCTTCTTGACAGCTTAATGTAATGGTGGTTTCATTGGGTATAAGCAAGATCCATTGTCCGAAATCATGCAGTTTCTTCATTACTGGCTCTGTGATTACGGCTTCTACTTCTCGGCAGGTAGTGGGAGTTTTTTGTACCAGGAGTTGAACTTCACAGGGATTGGATTCTTTGATTCTTCTCAAATCTAGTTCTTTGCAAACGTACTGTTTTGCGACCGTTTCCGTGCATGCGTCTCCCGCAAAAGCGAAGTACAACTCATTCTTTACAAGATATTTTCCAGAAGGGATGACTACTTTGAACAGACCCTTATGAAAGGTTGGAATTGAATATAAGTGATAATAATCAAATTGGAATGTATGAACAATTGGAATTTGAAGAATGTATGTTATTTTTCTATCAACTGTATAACAGCTGATTTTAATGAGCTTTTCAAAAATCGGGATATTATCCAAATTAACTTCTAAAGGGAGTTGCTTTGTGGATAGTTTTAATGCCACTGAATTTAGTGCTTGAAGTAAATGTTTTGGTTTGATTACACTGGGGTGCATAATTCCCAATTTTGCAAAAGTAAGTGAGTTTTCTATATCCTGGAGCACTGAAATTATGATATGATAGATATTCATGATCTCTGAGATTGTATCTCTCAAGAAAATGCCATTTTCTATGTAGGCTTGTGTGTTAATCATGGCTGTTGAAAGCTGATTTATTTTAGCTTCCAATAGCTTTTGGTTATGAGTAATCTGACTTACAGTTTTATTGAAATTATCGATAAGTTCGACAGATAAGGTATTCTGACTATTGATAGCTTCTGATAACTTGTTTTGATCATTCTGCAAATCGCTTATTAGAGACTCGAATTTTTCACCATCTGAAGCATCCAGGTTTCCTGTGATTGCTTTGAAAATTGAACCTAAGCCGTTTATTAATCCCCTTTTTATTCTAACAGAAAATGATGGAACAGTTTCGTAAGAAGAGGGAAAAATGTCATTTAGCTTCCCGTCTACTTTTCTTTCTAAGAAATACAAAACATTGAGGTAATTTGCTGAGTGTTTATAGTGCTCAATATATTTCCTGGATAATGTCGCAACATTTTCAGTTTTTTTCTTAAGGTCATTAACTTCAGTGATTATTAAATTGACGTCGTAAAAATACAGTATTGAGTGACAATTTTTTGTAATTTTGGCGGTCCCTAATTTCATGGGTATCAACCCTAGGTTATTTTCTAAATTCTTCAACGTTATCGTACCATGGATTCCTATGATTCCTGGGAACCTGTAAAATAATATATTCGAAAGAAAATCTTATTTTTAGCGTGCAATTAAGAGTAAAGTAAACGTAGATTACATACATAGTTTCTTATCTAATTGCTCGAGGCTTAGTCAAACGAATAAAGTTTGCGTAGCGGACGTTTCAAATTACTTATATGCACTTTTCCGTGCTGGTCCGTCGCGACGGTCTTTTTCTCCGTATTAACACTTTGTAGTCTACACGGCTTTGAAAATTTGTTGGCGTGCTTTTTTCTAACATGCTTTTTGACGTATACTGTTTCTCGGTTATCAAGTATAGTCGGACTATCGCAATCTCTGTTAATGCGTTCTAGCGTCTTTTCTTTGTTTTGAATGAGATCAGAATTTATTTTTGAATACAATAATTTTGTACGCTCTTTGTGGCTGTTGGTATAGTCATTGAGGAGTAATTGGTCGATTTTGATATCGAATGGTTCATTCGACGTAATATGTCCATTGATTATATCTATAGGCTTTAATTTTGTTACAGAATGTAAGGTGTGGTTGTAGGCTAAAACGGCATACAACATTTTCATTTTTATAGGGGTTTTCTGAAAGCCTTCTGTGTTCAACAATCTTAAATGTTCGGTGATAGTTGAATGAAATCGTTCAACGACTCCATTAGAATCTGGATGATTTGGCGAAATAAAATGAAGCTTAATTTTGTGAAGTGACAAAAGTTCAGTTACAACGGTATTTTTGAATTCAGTACCATTATCTGCGATAATTCGGGTAGGAATTCCATGATGAGAAAAGAATAATATCAGATTATCAGCAATTTCAGTTCCTGAAAGCGAAGTAATCTGATATGCTTGAGCATATTTAGAAAAACTGTCTATAATTGTGAGAAATTTTGAACCTTCAAAAGTGAAAGTATCGATATGTACGATTTCAAAAGGTTTTGATGCAGTGGGGGTGAGATTCATCGCAATTTTTATCGGATGACGCTCATATTTACATTGTTGACAAATTTCACATTCATTTATAAATGTTTGGATTGATTTTTTCAAGTTAGGCCAAAAATATTTTTCTTTTATTCTCTGATGCGTTTCCTCAATTCCACGATGATTCGACTTGCTTTCGTGGTAATTCCGGATAATGTCCTTGATATCAGTTTTATCTGTAACGTCGACTAATTTGGTTCTACACATTTTGAATTTCAAAGCATCTGACTTAAACATCCTTTGTAGAACAACAGAAAATTTTTCATATATATCTGGATTTTCAAAGTATAAGTGATAAATGACGTTAGGAGCAATATAATCTCGAATAAATTTAAATACATCATCGTCAAAATCATTTTCTGAAAATTGTACGTTAATTCGTTGCTTGCTTTCAAATAAAATAGAAATTTTTGGTGGTGCAGGTGAATGTTTTACTGTACTTATGATAATCTGATTATTTCCCTGATTAACTGCGTAATCAACTATAGGAATTGTCTGAATGGGGTGTTGGTCTGGATTTGAATGTACAGTTTCGTCTGGATTTTCAGGACGATTATTTTGATATTCTAGATTGACTTGTTCATGTTCAATGATATCTACAATTTCGTCCAGGGGTTGAATAAAAAGACTGTCTTCGTCATTATCGACGTTTACGAACATAGATTCGGTATCAGGTTGTTTTGGGGTAGAAAAGTTAAATGTAGGTGTACTTAATTCAGATGAGCCTTTCTGAACTGGTCGGTCAAACTTAACGTTTTGGTGTTGAGTACCTGCGCATTCTTGAATCAAATCATCTAAGTCGTTCCAAAATGAACTGGTTTCTTTTGTATGGATCTCTACACGAGACAGGGCATCTGCATTTGTATTCAGTTTGCCTTTCTTATAGATGATATTCATATCATACTCGTCTAACCTGATTTTCCATCTTAGTAATTTTGAAGAAGGGTCTCGAAGGGACCATAAGTATTTTAAGGGCATATGATCAGTAATTAGATTGAATTTTCTCCCGTAAAGATAGGGTCTAAAGTATTTAGTCGCCCAGACTATTGCTAGTAATTCTTTCTCAATCGTACTATAATTTCGTTCGGAATCATTAAGCGTGCGCGAAGCATAGGCGATAGGAAGATCCTGTCCTATAGGGCCTTGTGAAAGTACACAACCAAGGGCTACGTTGCTCGCATCCGTGGTTAAGTTAAATGGCTTAGAAAAGTCTGGATACTTGAGTATCGGTTCATTGATAAGAACATTTTTACATTTTTCGAAACAGTCAATAAATTCTGCATCGTGTTCAATTTTGGCTCCCTTTTTTAGACATTTAGTTAGAGGCTTTGTGAGTTTCGCAAAATCTTTAATAAAACGTCTATAGTAACCAATAAGTCCGAGAAAGCTTTTAATCTGCTTAGTCGTTTTTGGAATCGGAAATTTTTGGATGGCAATAATTTTATCTGGATTTGGCTTAACGCCGTCTGGTGTGACTACATGTCCGAGATAAGCTACTTCTTTACGAAGGAATTCTGATTTATCGAGCTGTATTTTAAATTTTGAAGTTCTGAGTCGTTGGAAAACTGACCTTAAATTTTCAATATGTTCTTGAAGGGATGTAGAAAAAATTATAATGTCGTCGAGATATACGAGACATTTCTCGTTTTGTATCCCCCTTAAAATATTATCCATGACGCGTTGGAATGTGGCGGGCGCGTTTTTTAGCCCAAAAGGCATCCGGAGAAACTCCCAATGCCCATTTTCGGTACTAAAGGCGGTTTTTTCTATGTCTAATTCCTCCATCTCGATTTGATGGAAACCACTCGCTAAGTCAAGGGTAGTAAAATACTGGCATCTGCCAAGTTTGTCTAGCAAGTCGTTGATATTGGGTAATGGATATTTATCGTCAATAGTCTGTTCATTTAAACTTCGGTAGTCAATTACAACTCTCCATTTTTGCTTCCCCGAAGCGTCTAGCTTCTTTGGAATGACCCAGATAGGTGAATTATAACCTGAGCTACTTGGACGTATTATATTGGAATCCAACATTTTTTGTATTTGGCTATTTACTTCGCCTCTGTGAACAAATGGATAGCGATACGATTTTGTGTAAATGGGCCTTTCGTTTTTGGTTTTTATTTGATGTTTGACTTTATTAGTAAATGTTAGTGGAGTTCCGTCCTGGTAAAAAATGTCTGAAAACTCTCTGCAAAGTTGAAGTATCCCTGATTTCTCTTCAGAATTTAGGTGATCAATTCTGATTTTCGACAAATCTAGGTCAAATTTTTGTGACGTGTCTAAATAATTGACATCAATTTCTGGCATTTCTGATAAATTAAATGATTCTACTGAAATCGGCTGAGAAAAATTTAATGTAACAGGCTTAGTAGTGTTATTCAAAATCGTTGTCAACGCAAAATTATTTTTTGCTATCGTAAGGCATTCAGGTATCTCGCAATTATGAAATTTTTGATGAGGAATAACGATTTCACCATTGGCGATCGATGTTTTGATTTTTATTACTTGTTCGGTTCGAGGTGCGACGGTTATCAAATTCAAGTCGTTAGAAAGCTGGTGAAATTTTAGTCTAATTTTGGCGTAGGGCGTATGTAAAGTTCCTTTGCTTAAATTAATATCGGCTCTCAATAATTTTAGATTATCTAATCCAATCAATCCATCGAAAATATTGTGAAATTTAAATAGGTAAAACTTCAAATCTATACGATTAGGAAGATTGAAAATTTTCGATGCCGGGATGGATGCACTATATTTGTGAGCGGATTTTTGAAAAACAGTTGATACAACGAATGGATCATCTCTGATTAAATTTGGAAAAAATTTACGAGCAATACTGGGATCAATAAATGACTTAGTTGATCCAGAATCGATCAACATTTTAATTCCATATTCGGGAAAAAGAATGTAGGATAGTTCGCTAGCATTGCTGGCGTTAAGTGAAATTACTTCTGGTGCTAGGTCTTGTGTTCTATGAATGAGTCCTTCTGAAAATTTTGAGGTGGTTCTACGTGATCAGTTTCAGGAATATCTTGTGTATAATACTCGCAATACTGATCAGTGAAATACGTATCTGAATTTTGTGGTTCAGCTACAGTTTGATCGCAAACAAAAGATTCGTTACCAGGAACTTCATAGGTGTTATTGCTTTCTATCTCTGCATTGAATAGCTCTTCAGCGATCCAATTTGGTTTTGGTTGTTGCTGGGCTGTCGAATTATGTTCAGGTTTGAAAGAAATTCTAGTAGAAGTACTCATTGGAGTAGTTTGTGGTAAAGTACGGTTAGGGTTAGGTTTGAAAACATTTCTGTTATTCTGTGTTTGTCTAAAAACTAGAGAATTCGTCGGAAATCTCTGAGGACGATAAACTGGTCTTGGCAAATTTACAGGTGCAGTCGGAAAAGTCGAATTGAACCTAGGTTGAAATGTTGAAGTGTTCGGCTGACTGAATGAATAATTAGTAGGCTGAAAGTATGAAGGTCTATTTTGACTTATCATTGGCCTTTGCATTGGCCTGGAAGTTTGATTCTGGGGCACATTTTGTGATTTTCCAAAATTTTTGTTATAATTTTGGAAATAGCTGACATTGTCTTCAGATATAACGAATTGTAAAGCTTGGCTGAGAGATGTGGGTTTCATACATCTAATTGTTGTACCCATGGGCTCTCGTAGTCCGCACAAAAATGTTTTCAGAGCTAATTCTTGATATAAATTTCTTTTTAACACTTTTGCTTCTTCAGAATGTTCATGTACGTTTACATGGCTGCATAGCAGATTCAAAATATGAAGACACTTATCATAAAATTTTTGAGGCGTTTCATTTGGCATTTGCCTCAACATAACCAAATCACGATTTAGACAAGTTTCATCTCTTTGATCAGAAAAATTCCTAGTCAGAATGTCTTTTAAATCTGCCCAACTTGTGATATTTTGGATATTCACAAGCACTTTAGCATTTCCTTTTAATTTCGAGATCAGTGAATTTAGCAAATAGATATTTTGGAAATTATGTGGGTTCCGTATATCATAAAAATTTGCAATTAATGTTTCACTCACTGATAGAAACCTATTTAAGTCATTAGGATTTCCGTCAAACTCTGGGACGCAATTTAAAAATTCTGGTCTGAATTGAGACATGCTTGGAATATTTTCAATATTTAATCTAGGTGGTCTTAAAATAGGTGAGTCTGTTGAAAGTGTCAAATTATCTATAGCCTCTGCAATATCTTCCAAAGACATTTAAAATGTATAGTTGCACTTACGCTAATACGAGGATGATCAAGTGCATCACGTTTCTTTCTTTGTCTTTACTTGGTTGCTTAACTATAAGGGGAAGATCTTGGTTGGGCGATCTGGTCCTTCTCCAAAATGTTCCGCTTGCAGATTTGGGCGATGTGTGGTCCAAATCCCTGACTTCGTAGGTGGTAGCTGCACACGGTGTCTTCGATAGACCGGTTCCGCTCGAACTCCCACTCACCAAAGTCTTTAGTCCGTAGGCCGTTTTTCCGGTAAATTCGTCGATACGAAAACTGCTTTCGCGGTCTCGATTGATTCGCGAAACAGCCCGAAAATCCTACTGGCTGCGCCAATTATCTGACCGAGTCAGTCTACTTGCTTTTTAAAAAGATTTATTCTCGATTATCAAAAATACAATTTTATTGATGTATGTAGTATGAGCGCTAACAACAGACTAACTAACTCTGAATACAATAAAATAGGACTGGATAAGGCAAAGCGCTGATCCAGGGAAACTCGATCCTCTTCTTTAATGGTAGGGGTAAATCTTCTGTACTATAACGCACGTTTATTGTCATTGCTTTTGTTTATTTTTATTCTATGGTTTTTATGTCTTTGTGTACTTTCTTGATCGATCTTACGGATGCGTTTATCCAGATAGGTGCTTAAAGTTGTTGAGTCTGGTTGATCCTACTCTTGCATGAAAGATGACAACTTAAATTGGAATGTAGTGTCTGACGGTTCTGAACCTTTACAGTTAGAGGTAAAACAAAACTCCCGAATACAGGGATTTTCCTAATGGAAACTATATGAATTGGTCGACATTTTCCAGCGATTTGGCCAGATTGTTCTCCAATAACGTTGATTTTGTTTAATAACAATGTATTAAAGTAATTATTGCAACACCTTTTATGTGTCTTTATTACATAAATAGCAATTTCACAGGATTTCTTTCTCTACTCTAGCCACCCAAATGTTAATCTTTCTGGTCGTGCAACAGATCTTCTAGTCTCCCTCTTCTTCTTATCATTTTTGTTTTTCACTAATCCTGTAGTCAGCCTCACAACAAAGAAGTATATGATCTCGACACCACTTACAAAGCTGAATCCCAGAAAAAGACCTAGTAGCCCGCCGTAGTATGCTGAAGGACAAAAGATTAAATAACATAAAGTTGTTAACACCTTTAGATGTTTTCACAAGCTACCACAGCATACGAGGGTTGATCTAGAAATTAGGTGATCAAACAGCTTCAGTCATACCGGAAGATTTGAGGCGAAATCCAAGACTCTAGATTCCCTCGGCATAACTTCGCTCTGTCGCTCCTTCTTGGCTCAGCGGCCGTATGATATGAAGGCTTAGACTTTTGATTCCGCCAGGTGCCAGATTCTTCAGTTTATTTTAAAGTGTCAAGAAGATAAGGGAGGATTGTTATAATAACGACTATAAAGAAAAATGGAGCAAAGTTTCGCCTATCGAATGACGTAAATTTCTATGAGAATAAACAATCGAAATAAGAGCGCAAAGCGCCACCTAGCACCAAAATCGACCGCAGCTATAAGTTGGAACTATAAAGATCTTAGTTGACGTGTAAAATAGCCCAGTCACCATGTAACCGCTAGATGACTGACGATTCTGTGGTCTACTTGCCACTAATCATGATGCTTTCATCCAAAAGACATCCAACGATGGACAGTTGTTTCGTGCTTACTGGCTGCCCATCAGCGTAGTCTACGTTTGGTCTCTCGTCTGTGGAACAATTAACGAAAGCATTGCAGCTATCCTCTATCCAGGGTTCCAACAAATAGTTGCTATGCAGTGGTCGATTTTGGTGATAGACGGCACTTTGCCTTGTTTTTTTTTCAATAGACCGTATCTCTTGGATAGAAGATAGCTGCAATGGTTTCCTTTGTTGTCTCAGAGAGGTGAGACCAGGTCTACACCAAAAAGCACGAATTAGCTGTCCTTGATTGGTCGTCTTTTAGTTAGACGTACGAAAGCGTCATGAATGAACATTGGTGTCCATCTCTAAAATTGACGGGGTCTTATTTCTGATTCAACCCTCGTAATATGCCTCAGAATTATAACAAATTTTGATGTATCTTACCTAAGAGGGTATGCCAATCAAATTTCACATCCATTCTGTTCTTTATCCCCACTAGGTCGTTGAAGTATACGTTTAATATACTGCTATCGTTGGTTACTTTCACATCAGCACTGAAACATTTAAAAAAATACAATGCAGACCTTCTACTATGACTCAGATGTGAGTATAAAGGTATATCACATTCAAATGCAACATTTCTGATAGCCGGTTGCTGCTGAATCAAATCAAAGAATACCCATTTCCAAACTTCAATAGATCTAAATTTTAAACAAGTCTTTTAAAAGTTACAATGTTAACAGTTGCAAACACAATACAATCTTGCCACTAGCCTAACCAGTGTTACCTGCCATATTATAATTATTATTATTATTATTATTAGATGTGTTGCTAACTATATGTCCAAGGGTTTGAGAATTAAAGGTACTCACTATGCATTGCTTCTGATGTACTTGAAGTTCAATACTCCAGCCGAGCTTTCGGCATAGTACTCCGTAGATTCGCAGTCTGGCAGACATCCACATGCCCTTCCAGTTACTTTCTCCAGCGTCGTGAAATCTTTCGATGTAACGTTATGACCAAGTGATGCACTGATCAATAACTCTTCAAGGAAAAAACTTATTGTTACATAACGTCCCTTAAATCCACATATAAAACTCCCTCATTCTTGGTGAGACTCGTTATTACGGTACAGGCATTGAACAACATATGGAAACCTTTGATACTGTTTCTTTCTATGCTATCTTTCAGAGTCTAGTATTGAACCGCGAAGAAACTCTTGTAAATAAGGTATGGCTGCTTCAAGTCCTATGGAGCTTCTTAACCGGCATTATGCATTATTTAGCTGCAATTTTCTTAGTGTGTCCGGGAAATGTTGCTACACATGTTCAACGTTTCCTACATTTTTACAGATATTTCTGTCATATTGCCGGGCTACTTCGACAAATGTATCTCTACATATTGCACACAATATTACCCAGATATAGCCGAGATATACAGAGTATTCCAGGCCGACGTCAAGCTGGAAACGGGGGCCATGCCAAGTCATAACGGTAACCAGAAAATATAAAAAGTCTGAATCGTGTACTTTTCAAATTATAGGCTTTAAGAGAAAATCGAAAAAATCTTACAGCCTGTGATGATCTTTTACCTTCCATTACTGAAAATTTCAATGTTTTCTTAGATGAAGTGACGGACCGAGTCATTCTACTTAACGATAGTAAGACATCGACGCCATTTTTATTAATTCGTGAACGGATTTATTAAATTCACAATAAACGTTCAAACTTCAGACGTGCGAATCTTCCATTATTCACAAATTCTGTATATTCTGTCCCGTAGCTCAGCTACATTTTCGATTATGGAGTAAACTTTTTCTTTCACCGCTTCCCAGTAAAAAAAAGAAGGAGTGGGTTTATGTCACATCAACGGGCAGCTGTCTTGCCAATACCACATGTTTCTGTAAATGCTTAGTGGCACGTTTTCCAATAAATGTAGTAAGTGGTTTTGTAGAAAGTCCAAATAAATTTCGCCATTCAAGAGCTCTGACACCTCAAAGGGTACAATGATTCTCCCATTTAGAATCCCGGTCTACATGTTTAAGACGATACTGTCGTCTACCTTGTCTCATCAAATGTGGATTTTCTGCATGCCACTCGTGTAAGTTGTGTAGATTCATATATCTATATTTTTTTAATGTCGACTCATCAGACAATAAAATTTTCTCTAGAAATCGCCAATGTTCCCAGTGTCTCTGTAACATTGTTGGAAAAAACTCAACTCTCGGAATATAATCCCGGGGGTGTAGGGATTGTACTCGCTATACGTGGTACGGGTGGAGGTCGTTCTTTTGAAACATTCGGTGGGCACTCCCGTGCTTGTTTCTACTTGACGTACTGAAGTACGGGTCTTCTTCGATCACTTGTGCGTACGACCTCTGGCCGAACTCCACTTTAGCGCATATCGCAAATATTTCATTTCTTATTTCGAAATGAAAGTTTAGGATGTAACTTATACGAAAATATCATTTTTTCATTAAGGAATCCTTTGCTATCTATTTTGTAGAACTTCAACGTTGTACGTTGGGTGGTAATACTGTGATATATGGTACTGTTTTGTAAGCTGTTCTTTTTTCGTTATTAAAGAAAAAACTGCTCCAACTAATATGAATATAACGTACATTGTATACTACTGTGACAATATTCACCGCAATAATGCAATTTTGCATTATTGTAATGATGAAAATAGATTATTGCTAAGTACTCATTTTTTTATGCCAGATAAACATTCCCATCACTAAACCACCATCACTATCATAATTTCTTCATGTAGTTGCAATGCTGCCAAATCATGGGTATTTGTGGTCGGCAAATATGGCAAAACATTTATCGCGAGCAAATTAGAATTTGATTTAGTTTGTCAAATTCTTGCTTTGTGTAGATTTTTTTCACGATTTTCAAAGATTCTTACATTGAGACCTATATTTCATAATAGGTTGTCAAGTGGGCCAAACAACGAGAGTTACTGCCTAGGGCAAAATATTGCAATCGGTACAGGATTGCCATGAAAATGCGATTTGGAGGTGTGGCCGGCAGGTTTTTACTGTACTAAGTCTACCCCCTGCCCTACGATAGCGTTAGCCAAAGGCCCTTTTTAAATAATGTCGTATGCCCTTTACAAAAATACTAATATTTTTTTGTATGTCTGTACTTCAAGAATTACTTAGAGTGACGCTGATGTCACAAAATATACCTAATTAAATGTAATATACCGGGTGTTCATTGGAAAACCTCCCACCATGGATTTATCGAAAACCAGTTCAAAAAGTGTTCAAAATGTTTCCTGTTAGGGTTTACCAAATCTACAATTCGTTTATAATTTAAAACGGAAACTACCAACATATACAGCAATTCGGAAGATTAGACGTGGCAACAACCAAATAACAACCCGAATTTTTTTCCGCATTCTTTTCATCAACACAGATATCCTGAACTAACTGTATTTATTATTATACCTGTTTAGTTGTTTGTTGCTAATGGAAAGAAATAATTTAATTTGCTGTCGGTTACCTTTGTGATAATCTTGGGATACTGAAAGTTAATTTATTGATTCAGATTTTACTTCCAAAATGGTTTACACATTAGCCGAAAGAGTGGAAATTATTCCAATTTATGGTGCCCAAATTCAATGTGCACGGCAAACTGCCGTCACGTTTAACGCCAGACATCCGTAGGTACGCTTTGGACCTTTTTACTGAATTTACTCAAACTGGATCTTTTGCAAAAAACGTGATCATCGGAGAGTTTTGGATGAATCCGCTCAGGTTGAAGTTTTGGGTCATTTTGGAATAAACGTCATTACGCAAAATTGTTGCTGCGACTGGTATTTAGTTAGCCTCTCTACACATACTTCCTAAACTCCATAGATTGCATCTATTCAAAATCAAAATATTGCAAGAGTTAACCGAAGATGAGTCCGATAGGTGAGTTGAGTTTTGTGAACAAATGACTGCAGCGATTAATGATAATACCATTCGTGTAAAGAGAATATCTGCTTCAGTGGTGAATGCACATTTCATCTAAATGGGTTTGTTAATAAGCAACTGCAGGTATTGGAGCAATGAAAATCCTCATGCTTCTGTTGAAAGGCATTCTCAGTACACCCAAAGAGTCAATGTATGGGCAGGCACTTTAGGAAACAAAGTGATTGGGCCGCTGTTCATTAATGGAATTTGAATGGCGACATTTATTTGGATATGTTGAAAAATACCATCAATCCGCTTATCACTGAAACCATTGAAAACCAAACCGAAGAGGATGGAAACCTTATACTTGATGAGGCTGAAATATATTTCCAGCAAGACGGCGCTCCTCCTCACATGTTCTTCCGGTTCGGCAATGGCTAGTCGAGTTTCCAGATAAATGGATACGGCGAAAAAGGCATATAGAATGGCCTGCTAGATCCCCTTATTTGACGCTATTAGGCTTTTTTCTATTGTGTGAAATCTATTGTGTTTACCCCTCAACCTGAAAGTTTGGATGAACTTTGTCAACGCATCATCGAAAGCTGCCATGATATCCCACAACATGTTTTTGAAACTGTCAGTCAGGAATTTTAACATCCCCTATATCATTGTTTTGCCAACAACGGACAACATTTTGTACTCTTATTCAAATGAAAAGTGATATTTCAGTGTGTTTTTGTGTCCTATCTGAACAAATTAAGATAAATGAAAATTTTTCTAATTTTCTTGAAAACGAATCGACCGATTTTAAAAAATCAGACGTCAAAATAAAGAAGACCTTTTAAGCAAGCTATCACTCGATACCCATTGTCATTTAAAATTTTCAAAGCGATAACCCTAGGGGCAGAGTGAAGGAGGGAGAAGTAGTTTTTGGTTAAAAAATTGTCCCCCTTCACAAATCTTTTGACGTGTCTCGGCGTTTTTTCTTTTAATCAGTGGTTTTCAGTAAATCCGTAGCTGTTGCTAGTTACTAAATTATGGAAAACATAGATAGACATTGTCGAGATTTTAGTATAATAAATGTGTGTTAAGAGTCGTTTTTTGATGATTCGATGGAATGGTGGTTGATCATTATTCAACGATGATATGTTGGGTGGACCTGGGACCGAGGCCGCAACGTGAAAGGCTCCAGAGCACCAGGAATGATTGAAACAGTGGGAGCAGAAAATTTCAGGACGGTGGAGTTGTCGGAGAGGAATACCGAGCCGCTTATCGCCTTTAGCAAGGCCATTTTCTAATGATGATTTACTGAAAAGATTGGGGAGTTATTATTGATTGCCTCCACATGGTGCTCCCTGGAAACACCATATAAAACAAGCCATTCACATTAACGACTTTTATTTTGCAAATAACCTCATTTGTTGGATTACGTATTTCTCCCAAAAAGAAGTAAAATTTGGCAACAATGGATAGCATTTGTTCTATGTGTCAAGAAATGAACGTTATAAAATGGAACTTCAGAATTGTCTCTACTTTCAAGCATTCCTTGTAAATGCAAGAACTCATTGAAAAAACGCGAAAAAAATGGTTAAGAAACTTCAATAAGATATTGCAAAATCACAATCATTAACGGTATGTATTTTGAACCGCTATTTTAGCTTATTCCACGAATGGCTTTGAACCTTTTTTTTTAGCAAAAAACTACATTTTTTATAGTTTCACATCTGATGATTTATATAATTTTTCCCGAAAAAAAAAACAAGAAATTTGGTCTTTATGTGCTAAAGTGTAGTCTTAACCGTCGTCGTACGACGTCCTCGTTAGGAAGTGAAATGTTTTCTTCACCGTGTACTTGATTGGGGAATCGTCCCTCCGAGAATAAACGGTGCACATTCACAAAAACTCGGTGATCGAGATGACTAGTAGCATCTGGGTAACTCTCAAGATAAAGCCTAGCTGCAGCACTAGAATTGCATCTACATTTCCCATTAATGAAGTGCATGTTGGCATATTTCTGAACGGTGTACACAAACATGGTGGCACTATACAGTCATGAATTAATTAAAGTGGCGTTACTATCTGTCTTGCTGTCACTCTGTCTAAAAAAAATTGAAATTTGAAGTAATAATAACCAAAAGATCACAAGGTGTAGATTTTCCTGATTTTTCTCAAAGCTTATAATTTGAGAAGTACACGACTTAGATTTTTTATAATCTACCAACTTGATGTCGAGTTCTGGGATACCATATAGAGCTAGACCATATACTGCAATATGGTCAGGAAGGCTGGCTATACTTGTTATAGCAGCAGCCAAATACTGGTACAAAAATATTGGTCGTTTAGATGCTCCATTACCTACAACCGCTGCCGTTGTTTTGAATAATAAATATTCTGATACTGAGCACTCTCTTATTTATAAGCACTCGATGAGGGTTATCAATATTTAAGAAGTCCAATGGAATGAGATTTTCTCCTCTCTCCAGCTGGTTTAAGGCTTCAATCAAAGATAATGAACTTAATAGCAATGAATTTAGCAAAGACTTGGCTTGAAGAGATTAGTTTACTGATTGATTTGTTTGAAACTATTCAAGTAAGGGTTATAAGGTTTAATATTGAAGTAACGTCTTTACTTAAGGGAAACATTTCACATGTCTGTATTTTTCTGTTACAAAGATTTTGTTCATTCTTCTGGGCTATGTATTATTTGAAAGTCTCCAACTGGCGCCCAGCGACAGATTTTTATCCGGTTGCATTCACTTAGCTTTCCATCAGGTCTATCCATAATGTTTGTAAGATGTAGGGTCTCTCAACAAGGGATGGCGAGTCAAAATGATGCTTACTGATAGCATTTTGTTGCGTTATTAACTAAAACTTGAGATGCTTCTCTTATTTTATTGAAAACTACTTTACTCAATAAGAAATTCTCTGCTTATGCCATACGTACTTTGATGCTGTCGAAGGCACTTTACGTCTCTAAGGGTGCAAATCTTCACATCTGTCGAATTCACTGCAAATATTAATAGAAGCTAAAATATTAGAAGCAAGTTATAAGATCCGTTGGCTTTGAAACTTCATTCAAACCAATGAATGCAAATAGGTTAGAAAGAGCAAAGCCTACATGTTCGGATGGCATTTGTCGATTTCACTAGTTTTATTGTATACTTTTGGATAGATTTGCCTACCAATGTGACAACCCAATACATCGGCATTTATTCTTCTCTCTGCAACTCACGTATAGTTGTTGTGAATATTTATTAACAGTACAGCGATACTCTAGTGATAAAGAAGCGGTCGTATCGGGCAGTTATTGATGTACGAGGTTCGACACGGCATCTGACAAGCTTATGATTAATTCTAACTTAGTTCGTAATTTTGGAAAGTGAAAAATACGAAACATTTTCTTCATCAAACAGTAGCTATTGCAGAATTACTAATATTGGACATAATGGAACGAATTGCTTAAACTTTACTAGTTTTGCTAAACAGTTATTGTGATCCTAGCAGATTCTTGGCTAGAAGCAAATACCTTGTTGAACATAATATGGAAATTACTGATGTTAAACTACCATCACTATCAGGAGCCTATAAAAAGTTTTGTAAATTGAACAGAAAGAGCTTTATTTTGCAAGGACTTTGTTAAGTTAAAAAAACATGGAAATAGAATTAAAATATGTATCAAACAGTGGTAAATAACAAACATTAACGAACGACCAGATTTGTCAAATGTTTACGAATATCGTAGCGAATCTGTTCAATACCTTACAAACATAAAATGACTTGCCTAAAAGAAAAAAACATAACCCTTCGTTTTTCCCCTCAAAATAACAATTACCTTTCGGCCCTAATTGTATGTGTCCATGTTTTAAATCCCCCTTGCATCAATAAAACCAGACATTGCATTTATAGGAGGGTGGTCCCAGAAGGACCCGGCCTGACCTAGAGATGGCGATAGTTGTTTGAAAAATATCATTGTATTAGAAAGTAAGCAACCTATAAAGCATAGGTGTCAAATTTGAAGACGTCACGTTGTTTAGTATTTGATTGGCAGCCATCAATACTGAACGTATTCAGTGAATTTGTGAAAATGTAGAAAATTGGTCATCGTTATGTGATACAATACTTTTATTTCAAAGGCCTCAGCCCAACCGATATAAAAGCTGAACTGGATTCTACTCTGGGTGAGTCTGCTCCTTCGTTTACAACAGTAACATTTTGGGTAGCAGAGTTTTAACGAGGCCGTATGAGCTGACAAGACTAGCATCGCAGTGGTCGACCAAATGAGGTGACGACTCCAGAAATGGTGAGGAAAATTCACAAAACGGTACTGAATGATCGTCGACTGAAAGTGCGTGAGCTAGCAGGCGTAGCAGGCATTTCAAAAAGTTTGGTTCATCGCATACTATCTGAAAATTTGGACATGAGAAAGCTGTGTGCAAGATGCGTGCCGCGATTGCTCACAATCGAGTAAAAACGGTGTCGTCAAAACAATGGACTCAAAAGGCACAGCCGGCTCCAAAGAAGGCGAAGACGTTTTTAAGGCGTCGGTTTTTTTTTGGAATGCCCGTGGTATAATTTTCATTGAATATCTTGTAAAAGGTAAAACTATCAACGGCGAGCATTACGCGAACTTATTGCAACGTTTAGGCGATGAAATCAAGCAAAAACGGCCGCATTTGGTTAAGAAGAAAGTGTTGTTTCATCAAGACAATACACCAGCTCATAAATCCGTTATTGCAATAGCCAAAATTAACGAATTAAAGTTTGAATTGCTACCTCATGCACCCTATTCACCAGATTTAGCCCCCTCGGACTATTTTCTGTTTCTAAACGTGAAAAAATGGGTCAGTGGTCAAAGATTTTCCAACGATGAAGAAGTGATGTCTGCAGTATTTTGAGGAGCAAGGCAGTTATTATAAAAAGGGTATCGAACTTATTGAGCATCGCTTTGAAAAGTGTACAGAGCTCAACGGGTATTTTCTTCGTTGGGTCGGGTGCTTCTGGGATCACCCTCGTAATGCAAGTCACGGGTATTTTCGCCTAATATGGTTAGACTAAATAGGGTGTTACTAGAAACCTCTAGTTGACGTCATCCGTGAATACCATCTCCGTGGTATAGGCCCCCTTCTGTGCCACCAAGGAAGTCGTATGCTAGCTCTTTCTACCTCGGCTGAATTTGTTAGTTCTGAATTTGGAAGATAACATTTTTGCATGATTATACGCAACATTTTCTAGTATCGTTCTAACCTGCACTTTGGTTAACATCCTACCTCCAGAATGCACGTAGACAAATGGTGTACAATTGCACATTTTGATTGTCGTATTCATCCGACACTCCACCATGCAATTGTGAAAATTGTAATTTTTGAAGTATATCAAATCCTTTTCGTTTGGTAACAGACATCTTCTGGTTTCAGAAGGCATCCCAGCTACATCTTCGGTACAGTATGTTATCGTAGGGCTTACGCTGATCAAATTCAGAATCTTTCTTGGATTAAGAATTGCTTGAAGGGTCCAGTCCGGGTAGTAGTAAGGATTGTGGATCATCATCTAAAAATGCAGAAATGGAAGATGAAACTTACACGTATACGCTAAAAGTAGAGTCATAAATGTGTGGTTAGTCCGTGTTGCAAAGACGGCAACAGTAACGGTTTTTTATCTGAATTGTGGTTGTATAATTGTATAATACAATAGATTACTCATATTTCGAGTATCTTGTAGTTGGTAGGGAGGTCGTACTTCAAATAACTTGAAGGTTGAAATGTCTCTAGGGTTCCGCAAACTCTCACACCGCTCTGTACCAGATTGCTGAACAACTCATACCTCATTAACCTTTGCCTCAAGAGCTGAAGTATGCACCTGACTGCAAATACATTTTTTTGTAGCAGATAAATAGAACAGTGCCGAGATGACATTTTTGATGTACCTAGGTGATGATTTGTGTGAATGTCGTGCACATATCGTAAAATTGATCATTTCATGAAATGCAGCATTATCCATTGGTCAGGTGATGATTTAATCGATCAATAAAAATTGTTCAACTCTACGATAAACTAGATGCACAGCTACTCGATGAAGTGGTCAAGGACGTTTGATCAAATCGTAAAATAAATACATCAATTACCGATACAGGCCTTGGGAGGGCTCACATGTCAACGTGGCGGTCGTCAATAACAAAGCTATGTTTGTTTTGGAAATCCTAATAATTCATTACTAAATGAGGAAGAAAGTGTGACAAAAAGACGTTACGACAAGAAGGTACTCGAGTTCTTAGCGACTCACGCAAATAGCAATCAAAACTTCAAAATATAGCGTCAAGTAATTTAACTCTGTACTTCCTACGCGAAGCTGTCATCAGCTCGTAAAGAATTATGTTTGGGACAGGTCAGCCCTTCAAAGAAGACAGCAACGAACATGTATAACAAAAAATATCTAAGCCCCCCTGGGAGAAATTTCTGCCCACATGATCTTTGTGATGGCCAATCTCGCGTCAATAACGATACTGGCTTTCACCATGCACATTGTACACAGGCCACAACAGTGCGCAATCGGTTGTTGACTGTGACGTATAAAACGTCAAAAGAAAACTATAAAATGTCATCTTGTAGACTAGGTAGATTTTACGGTGCAACCAGTCATTCCGCGCTTGCTCACTAGGATCATTGTGAGGATCCATCTATGGAGAAATAACTCAACGCATTGTTGGTTGCATATGTTCTGTGAAGCCGAGTGGTCTGTAGTTTTCATATCTGAGAAGAAAGTTGGTTGAATAGCAGAATCGCATCTGGATGATTATGTGTATTGGTCTGCATGCGTATGAAATCAGTGATATTTGCTGTGAGAGAAAATCATTACTCAATATGCTATCAATAATGTATATCTATTAGATGTATCCGACGAGTTATGTGTGTTGTGCTTTCTGACGAGAGGTTATGTTCAAAGTTAGAAATTATGAAAAACTTTGAGGAGAATTACAAGACATATCACCACCACGCCCGCGTTGTCTGTTATTGCTGTAATCATGTATATGGCCTGTAACTCGGCACTGTATAGTGAATATAAATAATTATTTCTTATGGGTTTGATTTTTAAAATTCAGCAAATTTGCATATGAATTTTTCCGGAATGGATAAAAAAGTGGATGGGCAACAAATTTCCAGCTTTGAATCTCTAGTAAGTGTATTAAGTGTATTTGAGACAAGAATCCAATGGAATTATCCTCAATACATACAACTTACAGCTTAGGCCATCTCTGAAGCAGATTTTACATCACATCAGAGCCAAGCAGTGATAACTGAAGCGTCATGACGTTTTGGTAACACGTACAACTAAATGCTTATTTAACGTCTTGTAGAAAAACCTACATAATATCAAAAAATCGATATCACGTCACTTTTCAAGATACGTAATCCCCGTGCAGGCCGCACGCATTAACTGACAACTTTTTGAAGTTGTACTTGTAAGGGAACATCTACGATGAGTGAGATATGCCTAATAAGTGCACAAAATTACTGGGGCCTGAGGCGTATAACTATACCAAAGTAAAAAATGAGATACACCCTCCCCCAGCCCCCAATTTTGAACCTCTGCAAAAAAATTTTCGTTTCGCGCCACTGGACCGATTTTCGAAAACTACAAGGCTTTTTCGTCCTCAGTAGTAAAATTGTATGAAAATTTCAACAAAATGCAAACGGTACTTTCAAAGTTATGGAGGGGTCAAGGATCAGAGGTCAGACAGACAGAAAAGAGTGACATGTTTTCTTGTGATCGGCATGTCATATAACATCCAAAAAAATAACATCTCAATATCAGCAGTTTTCGCCATCACAATACTTCCTCACCAGTAAGCGTGGGAAGTATCACAGATTGGTACTCGACTCTTGAATTATATTGCTATTCACTTGTGTGAGTTGTAAAATTCATTTTATTTTTTATTTGTTTTAGGTTGTATGCAAAATAAAGGATCACGCGAGGCAATAACTTAATTTGTGATATTCGATACGTTCAAAAATTTTAAATATTTTAATATCGTTTTAATCTGTCTCAAATTCCTGAGCTTCCTAGCTTTAATAAAAATTTTGTCGTACTTAGGCGACAATAAATGAGTTTGTAACATGTTCTGGATTCTTATTAAATACTAGCTGACCTGACAGACGTTGTCTTGTCTTAGCTATGAACTGGGATGAATAATGAATAATAAAAAGGTAAATATATGGACCGTAAGTAATTGTATATCGAAGTGTTTGGACCGCCATGTGGCTAGCAAAATACGATGGCAGCACTGACATTCCCCCATCAACTTACCTTAAAAGTAGGCAAAAAATTATGTGGAATGAGTTTTGTTGCGTCATATAACGTAATTTTAAAGCAATTACTGTATTGTTGGATATGAGTCAAAAATGTTTAGAATCTGGCCATTTGTGAAAGCCAATGAGTGTAGGGGCTCTGGTGGTGATACCAATTTGATCTTTCCACTGACGCAACATAATCCAGGGCTTCATTTTTAAACTTGAAAGCGCTGCAGTGTGGACTCACAACGTTCATTGGTCCAATCGCAACGATTTGTTGTGAACTGTAATCGATTGCCACATAGTAATTGAATACAGCTCGATTAGGATTAAATGCTACACTTCTACATTTCAGTTCAACTTCATTTGTCGTTTCTCGTTGCTCGTCAGTTTGGCTTCCTCGTATATATCTTTGACTTGCAGTATTGCGAGTTCTGCGACCTAGGTTGTTTCGTCTAATTGGTGGTAGTTTGGAGAATCACAATCTGAATATAAGGCGTGATTGCGGTGAACTTCCACCCTGGTTAGTTATTTTTGGACAAATAATTCTCAAAAAACTCACTGAACAAACTGAAAACTGAATAAAAGGTCTAATTAAATAAAGCAATATTTTTTCATCGATAAACACTGATAAGCGATAATATAAATTTGCGGCGTTCGAACTGTCAAGTTCAAAGTGATAAGAGTAGTGAAAGTCAATACAGCAAAACAAAGGTATTTTAATCCGCCATTTTTATTCATAGAGTAAACTGATAACAATTAGGCAACAGTGCAGTTTATTTTGAAGGGGCTACCACAAAGTACGGATGGTAAAGAAATGTATGTTCAAAAACGAAAGCACCGTGTTTTCATAAGCAATTTTCTCTCACATAGCAAACTGTCAATAGCTGTTGGAATAAAGATGGCGGAGTGCAGTACCTTTCTCTTTTGGTACTTGAGATATTTCTTCTGCTGTGCGTGCTTCATGCTCAAGCAAACTGTCAAACGCGCGTAGCTTAAATAATCATTAGATTTTCAATGATTTCCCAAGTTTCTGCGTAATTTTCTTAATTTTTCTCCTCGTAAGAGCTTTCTATCCGGCATTAGGAAACTTTTTAAAAAAAGACAAATGAAATCGGTAAAGTCGTTCTCAAGTTATTGCGTGACCACACGAGATAGGGATTGATTTTTATGTATGAGGGGGTACGAAAAAAAAACCAACTTAATCCAACAAATATTTATGTAAATTTTCTAATCCCAATGATAGCAAAAAAGTTAAAAAAAAACCTGATCCTAATGAGTCCCTATTCATGGCCATGGTCTACTTACTGGGCAATGAAATCAGAGATAAAATGCTTCAATCTTTTTTGGAAATTCTTTATAAAGTGTACTCGGTAGGCGACGCGTTGTATAGCTTGATAGCAGTATATACGTACAACCTTTTAAACAGAGATGTTGAATGTCTCGGGATAACCCAGATATGCTTATTCTTTGTGTTCAGTTGATTAACATCTGAGTATCTGATAAATTTGGTTGATCGATATGGAGAAGCTTGTGTTATGATTACCTTATGGGTCAAGGTCAATACGTGCATTTTTTGTAGCTCTTCTATTTTAAATACCCAGCTCACAATATTTATGTGACGCTGTCTCAAATTTTCTTACTCCACAAGCAAATCTGAGACACGCATTTTGTATAGTCTGAAGTCTCCTTATCTCAATCGATTTCAAGGCCCATAAATACTTTTCCTATGAGGAAATAATTCAAGACACCGAATGGTGTTCGGCACAGTTGACTAACGTGTTTTTCAAACTCCAAATCAGAATCAATCCAGAGTCCTAAATTCTTACACTCATTTTCTATAGGGATCGGTTGATCTAAAATGCTCAATGATAGTAATGGTTTTGCCTGTCTTTTTTTGATTTTTGGTCCAAATGTTTTTAAGGCCATTTATTTTCAACAAACTTTATCTCCTTCAAAATACTGTCCACTACAACTAATACATTTGTCCCACCGAAGCTTCCACTGCTTGAAACATTTTTTGCAGCGGAACCATGCCATTTTTAGCCAGAAACTGTCGAACAGATATGGCTGTGTGCGCAGATGCATTCTCGTGGTGGAAGAACCAGTCTCTTGACTGCCACAAACCGGGTCTTTTTTGGCGAACACTGTTTCGCAACCGTCTTAAAACCTACAAATAGCACAAGCTCTCGAATGTTTTCAACATTTTGGCGATTCGGGCAGTTGGTGGACGTCCAGAGCGAGGTTTGTCATCAATCGTCATCGAGCAAACCACTCGTACACCTGAGTTTTTCCCATAGCATTATCTTTGTAAGCTACTTTTAACATTAAAACAGTTTCAGCAGCATCTTTACCAATCATAAAGCAAATATTCACAGCTGCACGTTGCTCACTGAAGCTTGCCATCGTAAAAAACGAAACATGCACGAAACAGCTCTAGCAGATATATTGAGTACAAATGAACGAAACAAGCTAGATCGACGACTCAGGTGGCACTGAACTGGTCATGAGTTGCGCTGTACACCTCTAGGGGCGGAAATGTGTACTACAGACGCTACAGTGCAATGCTATTCCGGTTATTTTTGGGTACCTCCTCGTACATAGATTTCACGGACACCCTATTTCACGTTCGATTTAACGATATGGTCAAATTTATGCAAACTTAGCTAATTATTCTTCCTAGAATACAACATTAAATATATTTTCTGTAACTGAAATTATATCTTAGTGGCCTAGATCATGATCCTCGTATCTTAAAAATGGCGGTCTACTTATCTACAGATTGAATGCAAGTAAGTCGTGGTTCAACTATATCCTATTTTGGTCTCAACTCTATCACATCTCAGTAATCAATATTGGCTTAATAAATATGTAGTTGGCTCAAACATATGCTGTTACTTCAAAATATTAGGTCACAGCGCAAACTTTTGCGCGCCAAATTTATCAATGTCAAAAGCCTTCTTTAACACTAATTGCTGCTTGTAACGCATATGATTCGGATCCGAATTAGGAAAAATGAGATCCACCCCGTTTCAAATGCATGTTAAGTGTCACGAACTGACATAATTCAGTTCCCTTAAACATCTGATTTCATAGTAATGTCATTATAAAATAAACTCAGATCCTTTCATGATAATAAGGCAGCATTTCATGAAGTATAAGGAGCATAAAATATGAGCTACAAACCGCATCAATGTTCTAATAGTTCGCAAAGAAACCAGGTTGACGCGATTTGTTGCGTATGAAGATATAGTTATTTAATTCACAAAGAGTAACATACCAGCACAAATAGTCATATACTGGTAAGCCTTAGTTTTCTGCTATAATACAAAAGCTTCAAGTGTTATTAATTATAAGTAACTTGCCTTATTGATTTCAATAGCATCATATAGGTACCTAGTTGTGATTGAGTAATGTTCCTACATATGAAAAAATTGTTCCGTAATTGCTGGTGCCGCACAAATGGTGACTATGTAACACCTGAAACCTATCGTGTGGTTTTCGTGTTGATAGGACGCCATTGTCTGGCCGCTAAATAAAACTGCGTATGTTAGTTAGTTGACAGTTGATTTTTTTTTTCTCTTTTTCATTACTGTATCACAGTATAAACGGACCTGTACTATGCAGAGATGGCGCGAAACCATCATCATAATTTCAGGATTTCACTACGTGAAGCCAGACAAGCTCAGGATTGTCTGTGGTAAGCATTCCTGCCCCCAAAAGACTTTTTATATACACAAGATACGTTTCCCTCACCTATCGTCCCGAACACGTTCAACGCTTTCTGAGAGCTCGAAGACCAACCAAACTTATTGTCATAACTATTCAGTGTTATGCAGTCTTCGAGTTACTGTTGAATATTAATTGTTTATGGATCTGAACATCTAAAGGGAACCATGTTGTTTGTCTGATGAGGGGTTAGTATAAGTTAGTATAACAGTTAGGCCCTGGCATGGCGCAACAAAACATTTAAGATTCAGTAACAGACCATAAGAAAAAACCTGGAAGTAATCAATTAGTTTGGAGAATATCATTTACATCTTTTTTCAAGGATAGTCAACCAAGTTGGGTCACAGTCCACAGATAAACTAGAAAGATAATTGTTCTTTAATTTTATATAGGCTGTTTCCTTAATTTTCCTTCTGTAATTGTTACTTTCTTTTTGCAACATTGAAAGGTTCGCCGTTCCGCAGTTTTAGGTTTCATTAAAAAAGAAGAGTGAAACTTTATAGTACGTTAGCAAATTCTGCCGATTTTCCAGGTTGTAAACATATCCATAAATTAAATTCATGGGTCTCTAGATGACAAACGGGCAATGTAGAATGTGGCCAGGTCGATGAAAAATGGCGCCAATTTTAAACCGTGAAGTGCCTATTAGTTTACATATTGTTTCAAGTGTGGGTGCTTTGATCGTTCTTACCTTTTGACCTGTAGAAGGCATAAAAGATGCGAAGTAATCATTGGGATTACTGTTCACCAGTATTTCTAACCCGCTTTGATGGCCGCAAGCAGATACTCTCCTGGGTTGTTTGGGCACTTTACTCGCTAAGGCTCTGCAACAGCTTTCATTACATCTTCAATGTGTCATATCTACTGAAGCTATTTACTTAACTTTGTCGTTGTTGTGGCATTTCCAAGAAACAAAGCATATGCAATCTTGGTGATGTGCTGAGTAAAGCTCAAAGTCCTGCAGATTTGTTCTCAAGCTAACACACTAAACGCGGTACATAGTGTAACCAAACTAAACTCAAGACAAGGAGTTTCGTCCATCTAAATACGCATTTTATACCAAAATTGTAAGTCAAATTTAAGTGTATGTATCTACATTAAAACAATTAACGAACCTATGATTAATAGCAAGCTATCTCACTGATTAACGTATTCTACATGAAGAACTCATAACCAACCATATCCAAAAATGGAGCTGAGAGACACTAGCGCCATCTATGGGACAACAGCAGAGCACAAAAGTAAATGTAGAAAAAATTGCAGATTGGTTCTGATACAGTCTTGTAAATGGCGCTAGGATCCTGAATATGTTTTTAACGTATTTGATGCATATTTCAATTGGGTATATTCAAGCGTTAATTAACGTATTAGGCCTGAAGACCCAATTAAAATAGTCATTATTCATCCAAACAGGTATTTGAAGATCCTAGCATCATTAGTGAGACAGCCGCAGCATAAGACTCTCTTTTCAAAGTAGATTTCCTAGTTCATTTTGCGTATGGCTAGTATCTTTTAGTCGCTTTTTGGACGCTGGAACACAGTGTATGGTTGGCTTTCTTTATTCAAGTTACGTTAATCAATGGCCTCATGCGGATCTGCATTTTTGATGTTCTGATCTGTGCAAAAGTTAAAAATTTCATAATGGGAAAGGATCCGGTACAATACAAATGAAAAATGGATCCCAGTCGATTTGCCTAAATATTCAGTGTGATAAATAATAAAATAGGTAGATAAATTTGCCCGATTTGCAAAAAAGGTGAATGTGCCGATCCTAGTTCCGCATAGGTTGAATGGGCTGGTTTACTGATGTATCGGTTGCCTTGGTAACCTTTTTCAAAATACAAATCAAAATAGTGACGTATGAGCTTATAAAATTGATAAATAATTTGACAATGACGTTTATTTGTTTATGCGTCTTCTAGCTGACATTTGCATTAGTCGCCGAGGCGTTAAGCAACCCTCGACTTAAAGTGCTGCATTATTTGTTCCCGTCAAGACTCTAAAACGCGGCTAATTCATTCAAATACGCTTATAACTGGAGATTGCTCAATAGTCTACATCGACGGTTATGACAAATGAGAAATGAAAGGCAAATATATGTAAATAAATAGAAGTTACTGTTTAGTTAATTATCAATTTCGTAAACTTAATATGTCATTCATTTGACTAGATTTTTGGTAAAAACTGCCGAGGCAGCCGAAACTAGTCTATTCAACATCGTAGGTTACGTTTATTCGCCAGATTAAGGATGGAAGGAAATGGGTAACAACTTAAAGCAGTGCTCACACTTGTGCGCTTTCTCTTTCACCTTCAAAATAAACATGACCTTGATTTGACTTTGCAAAGCTCATAATCACGGCCTCTCTATACCTATTAGAAGTTTTCAGTTTTCTGAATTCTCCAACAACACGTATCAGATCTATTCTAGCATTAACATATAAAATTCAACTTGCCCTTGAGTTGGCCTTGTCAAGATAACAATAAAAAATTTACATATCCGACTACCTGTCAACGAATCTCGATGCACAAGGCCAGAGAAAATGACCAAAAGCATTGCGAAGCTGTAGTTGGGGTTCAAAAATGTCAGGCCTCCTATCAGAATTAGTCAGAAATTGACATCAGATTCGTGACCAACGCAATCGATTTTCTTATCACGTTGACTGCTATATCGGTCTCCCGAGACCGTTATCAAACTTCATTTTGATGCGGAGCTGTTTTTTTTCAAATTTCCGTTTTGGTGCGGAATGCATATTTCCCTTAATATACAAGTTATAAATGCGAGACATGTAGCTATAAGATCGTGAGAACTTGTAGAGACGGAGAATTGTGTAAAAACTATATCGGTCTCCGGAGACCTACACCGAACAGACATGTCAAAATAATTAGTGGAGAGCGTTATAGGTCTCCGGAGACCTATGTATAATCATACGAACAAACGTGTCTGATCCTGTTTCGCCGTCATTTGAATGCGAGCAAGTGAAGTTGTGTATTCGGTTCACTCACCGAAAATGTTTTATTCTCGCTTTCAGAAAGCCAACTGGCCCAGGAAGAAAAAAATAATGATTTGTAAAGGATGCTACTAAGATCTTCGGAGAGCACTGTCAAGCCGTGAAGCCAATAAAAAAGTCACCAACGCAACGCGTTTTTGTGAAGATTGTCCCGGAAAACCTGGCATGTGTCTTCCTTGCTTTAATTAATTACACACATAATGGAAACCTTTTCTTGGCTTATATCTTTGAATTATATTGTATGGTTTTAGTGGCAGAATATCAAAATTTAAAATAAAATGAATATTCCATAGTGTTCTTTTTATGCTTAAAATAAATCTTGCCATTGATGCGGTATAAGTCGTCAGCGACCTATACGGAGCCAGACTTACGTTCACCTAGAATATATTTACAGATTTCTGCAATAGTTTTCTGATTCTGGTTTGAACACAAAATGTTAGAGGGCTCTAGGTAAAGTCTTGCCTATCGGACTCCGAAGACCGATACCGTGTCAGAATAATAGCATGCTATCGGTCCCGGTTGACTTATATCGCATTGAAGAAATAGTGCCATTTCTTTGCAATGCAGTCAACGTGTTAGGAAGCGGGTTTTGGTAAAGATTGCAAATACGCAAAAAAACTAAAAGCTTTATCGCTCCCAAACCTTTTCACAACAAAGATTCCCATTGTCGATCCTGTACCTGTCAGTGAATAAATCCCGGTACTCTGTGGTAATTTAGGACGCTGATTCTACATATGGCTACGAAAATATCCTGAATCATATTATAAAGGATGGGCCATCCGTTGGTTTATTTTTTAAATTAGTATTAAAACTACACTTTTCAATAATATGTAACACTTGATACTTCATTCAGAAGAATACACCTTTCGATTATTTATGAAAAACAAGCCAGCTGCAACGGCTGGCCTGGCAGTAGTCCATCCTCTCAACCCAATGTTGAATCACATTTTTGATCGTTTGTGGGTATATTTTATCAATAGTTTGACAATTATTTTCATTAAAAGCATCAATTGTTTGAGGATCGTTAGTTTAACAGCGGTCCTTAACAGTACCCCATAGGAAGTAATCCATGGGCGTCAAACCACAGCTGCAGACTGGCCGATGAACGTCTCCAGAACGACTGATAATGCGATGACAGAACGTAGTGTGTAAAAGATCGACTGTTTCATGGCTGGTGTGGCATGTTGCACCATCCTGCTGGAACCAGATATTGTTCAAGTGCCTGTCGTCTAATAGTGGCCAGAAAAAACTCCTCAACATGTCTCTATAGCATCCCCTGTTTACCGTCACGCTGCTACCATCTTCAGATTTTCAAAAGCCCAAATCCTACAGTTCTGCTTGTTAACGTAACCTCCCAAATATTCTCCACACAGAAGCGCGACTGACGCCCACTTGTTGTGCTCTGTGACAAGTTGACATTCTTGCGTTTACCCGCACACTCTGGACAACAGCAGCAATCTTTTCGGCTGTACGTACGGGTCGAACACGCTCATACCTTCTGTTAGCCACAAGCAGGCCAGTTTCACAAGCCTTCTTCACAAATTTTCGTATACCAGTCTGACCAAATAGTCTTCTCAATTTTCGCAAAATAATACCACCTTACAAAAAAAAAACAACTGATGGCCCACCCTTTATGAAGTAAAAAAGTGGAACAGTTCGGATCTCTTTTCAATGTTAGAAAGGGACTGACATAACATTTGTGATCTATGCAGTAGATTCACAAAGGAAGCGAGTTTTGGTGGTACCTAATTAGAAACGTTCATTTCGAATACGGTGACATATACTAAGTGACGTAGAAAATGCAACACCGACTGGGAGTGCTGTAATTTTGAACATACTTTTACAAGTTTTAGGTCTACTGCCGATATAAAGTGATTAAAATTTTAAATCGCAAAATACAGTGCAACCCGCTTATAATGAGCTCGACGGGACTGTGACAAATAGTCTATTATAGGCGGATGACAATCTTAAAAGAAACGCTTAAAATGCGTTTTTTTAGCGATGTATTGCCTTAGTAAAGGTACATAAAAAAAATTATACATAATTTTGAAATTTGCGTTTTTTCAAAATCTGATACACATATTACAGGTATACGTACGGTGTAGGTATGTGTAAAAACCGTAAATTATTTGGTAAAAAAGCTAGTAATTTCCATTTGAGCAGTTTGTTGTATAATTAATTACCTAGAGTTGAATTTTATTTAATTTGGTAAGTGTGGCTGTACTGTCTTCTTCTTGCTGATAATAACGTTGCAACTTTTTCATGCAGTCTAATGCCTCCTTAGTTGTCACTGGGAGCTCTTCTTCATCGTTGTTTTCTAGTTCGCCTTCCTGTTCGTTATCAACGGATCCTTCATTAACCAAATTGGAGTCTGGCAATTCTTGTGTTGCTATTAAATTGTTGTCAACGTTTACATCCTCATTAAATTTGTCTATATTCAGTAAACTATTAAATTTCAGTAAATCACTTAATGGAATTTCATCTTCTGCATTAAAATCGTTGACTATTTCAGTTATATTCTCACTAGACCAGCATGGCGAAAACAATTACGAATCGTTTCTGGAGTAACCAATTCCCACGCAATAGTAAGCAAATTTATAGCATCTACAATGGTGACAGCTTTGGTAATTTCGACATCTTCTTAAAGCGCCATAACTTTCACCAAAATATGTTTCCGATACATTTGTTTAAGACTCAAAATGACACCGTGGTCCATTTGTTGCAGAACTGGTGTCACATTGGGTGGAAAAAATGGAAGGTTGATGTTATTAAGTGAAATATTTGGATGAGCCGGGCAGTTATCGACCAAGAGCAAAATTTTACGATTCTTCTTAATAAGTTCAGAGTCCCAGTTTTTAAATAGTCTCCAAATATTGATGAAGTCATCCAAGCTTTATTATTTCCAACATAATCGACGGAAATTGTTTTTACATTTTTTAAACACCTGGGATTCTTAAATTTCCGTGAAATAACAAAAAGGTCATACATTCTTTTCAGCACTGCCATTGAATATCAAAAAAATTAGAACATGAATTTCTATTCATTCACGTACCTATTACCAATAATTTCCGTTTTTCAGTACCAGAAGCATTAGAACAAATCATAACAGTTATTTGCTCTTTTAATAGTATCCGCCCATTGCAAGTTTCTCCTTTTAATTTTACATGCAATTATTTATAGGACCTTAAATTGTGTCCATTGTATACAGGTTTCCATTATAAGCAAGTTTATTATAAGTGGATTCCACTATATGTAGCTCAGATATTAATGTTAATAATGATAGCATATATGTTTAAAGTTTTTATCAAAGTTAAATAAATACTTCTGAGTGTTGCATTTTATGTCACTTAGTTTTGGACTAGAAAAATTGACCTAGAATTTGTATTACTTAAAAGAATGGTGCTACATCTGAAAGTGAAAATAAAGTGAATGTACACACGATTTATTGTTATTCTCAACCTGACATAAACTCGTGTTGACAGAAGTTAAGTATTTTGAACCAAAGCCAGCTAATTAATATTTTTGACTATACTTACCCACCAAATGTGTGATTTCTCAGTGCATAGTAGTTAAATGCACAGCAGTATCCTTCTGAAGTCTTAATCTGCTCAAATATGCTCTCACATCTTTTTTCCTCTCCTTTCCACAAACACCTGGTTAAGATGCTTTCACACCTGGGTGCTAGTTGACCCAAAGCTTTGTCGACTGTTATATTATTTGCATCTAGTATATCCTAACCCAAAAAAAGTAAGGTAAGTCTATATTTTTACGCTTTCAGAACCGCTTCTAGTACAGTTTTAGATGTAGGGCAATTTAGCAATCGCATTAAAGGTCAAGAACATTAATTCCATACATTGCAGCAACGAGGGGATCCTCAATTGCTTGTCATTAATGTTTGGTAACTGATTTTAATAGTTCTGATACTGTATATACTTTTATACTTTACTATATAATTTTAATATCCGAAACCAAGTAACCTCCAAGCATAACGCTCATTACATGTCAGTGTTTTTCTTTAATGTACCCCTCACCTTTGATTTTGTGAACGGATCAATTAAAAAAATTATAACTGGAAGTAATGAAATAGATGCGTGGATACCATATTTTAGAGTGAAATTGACAGATGAAAATGTCAATATGGCCGCTGGGCGCCATCTTCGAAAAAAAAATTATATGAAAACGCGGGTCTTGTGGCATATCATTTTGAAGCTCCTGACAAGTACTTTATAACCCCACTACGAAATTGTGGTACATTTAATAATTACCTGAATACATTGACATTTAACCTGATAATTCGAATAAATGCGTTGAGTTCAGTTTAGAAGATGCTGGAAATTGTTGCCTTGAATTTCTTTACACAATAACTGCCGGTCCGTAATTTCGTGTCGAACATTTTCAAACAAATATTTGTTATTTTCAGCCATACATCCGATATTGAGGGTTCAGTTTCGTACACCACTTGCTTCAAATAACCTCATAAAAAAGGTCTAAAGGTGTCAAATCTGGCGAGCGAGCTGGCCACTCCACAGGACCTCGACATCCAATCCAACGGCAGGGCAAATTGTTTTCCAAATATACTAAGTGACATATAAATCCGAACACCCAGTTTAAATGGTTTTATTTTAATAAGATAAGAGAAGGCCGTACGCAAAGAGCAAGGGGCACTGGACGCCGCCGTAGAACAACAGACCGTGAAGATCGCCGCCTAAGATTATTGGCCTTAAGGGACCGTTTCTCAACTACCAGATCCATTGCAAATGAATGGTTTGCAGAACACGGAAGACCTATTGGCGAAGTGTTTACCGACGAATGAGTAGTTTTGGCTTGTTTTCATACCGGCCACACTGGGTCCTCCCTTTAACTCGAGAACACCGACGTAATCGCCTTGAGTGGTGCAGACAATGGTCACTCTGGGATCAGAAATGGAACAGAATTGTCTTTAGTGACGAGTCTTGATTTTGTTTAGGCATGCACGATGGTCGTGCCAGGGTTAGAAGGCGACGTGGTGAAAGGAGGAATCCACAGTTTTTTTGTTGAAAGACATGTTCATCACACTGTTGGAGTTATGGTTTGGGGTGCTACAGCTTATGGTTCCAGGTCACCTTTAATCTTCATCAGAGATAACATGAACGCGCAGCGTTATATCCACGAAGTTCTAGAACCCCATCTTTTACCCTATCTTGACACCCTGGCAGATCCAACTTTCCAACAAGGTAATGCCAGACCACATGTTGCAAGAGTCACAATAGACTTCTTTCAACATAATGATGTCACATTGTTACCATGGCCATCACGATCTCCCGACTTATCCCCAATTGAGCACGTGGTGGATATGATGGGTAGGAGATTGCTCAATTTGCAACGTCCTCCTCAGACTCTAGAAGCACTTCGAGAGGAGTTGGTGGTTGCCTGGAATGAGATACCACAGGAGGACATTGACCACCTGATCAGAAGCATGCCTAGGCGCGTTGGAGAATGCGTAGCACATCAGGGTGCATCCACACATTATTAAAGGTCAAACGGCTTTAAAGCAGTGCAATCATTTTGAAATTTTTATCATTTACTTATTATGCTTCGTTAAGTACTTACTACAAAATTTTATTAAAATAAAACCATTTAAACTGGGTGCTCGGATTTATATGTCACTTAGTATAATTCCTAACTTGTCTGTAGTAGTGTGATGGTGTACCATCTTGCTGGAATACAATATCAGTATCAAATTCATCACAAATTTTTTGATATAGGTTAGGATGCCGTGCAATGGTTTCCGTCCATCTCCAGTTAGCTGATGTACCATTTGAATTTTGTATGGATGATACTTATTCTTTTTCAAAAGACTCCATACAGTAGAAGGACAAACCTCACATACATTCGCGATGGAGGAAGTAAACTGTTGGGGATTTACTGTGATCTCACCACTTATTTGCTTTTCTTCCGGGATGGTCGGATGGCCTGGGGGCTTTTTGTTGTTTACACTACTGTAAATTTAGTTATAAGTTCCCTTAAATATTTTCTAGAGACAGGGCGATTCGGGAAATGGTCATTGATAATCCTTTTGGTCTCGCGAAAGTTACGCGTCGCACCGTAAATAAAAATCGCTTCGATTTTTCTTCCAATGGACGAGAATTGACAATTTTAAAAATAGTTCAAACATCTAGCACTAAAACCGAAAACTAAATAATAATATTTTAACTGTACAATGATATTTGTTTTCGTACTGATATTCTTGTCACTGTCAACAAAAAATAACAAAACAAGTTTTCATCGCTATTGCTGTGGATACGGCAGGGAATTAGTTATTTGTAGAGATATGCATGTTAGTGGTTTTGTGTTCAAGTAATTATTAAATGTACCACCATTTTGTAGTTGGTAAAGGGATTGACTTTATATTTTAGGGTTATAAAGTACTCGTCAGAAGCAAGCTTCAAAATGATGTGCCACAAGACCCCCGTTTTCATATAACTTTTTGTCCAAGATGGCGAACAGTCGCCATTTTTACATTTTCATCTGTCAGTTTTACTCTAAAATATGGTATCAACGCATCAATTTCATTACCTCAAGTTTTAATTTTTTGAATTGATCCGTTCAAAAAATCAAAGGGGAGGGGGACATTAAAGGAAGGCACTGTAATAGGTCATATAGGTACATACAGACACAAAACATTTGGTACGAGTAAAACCTTCAGAATTATTAACTTATAGTAGAGCCGTTACTTTTTACTGCATATATAGTTTTTAGTAGTATCAGAATGACGCTACCGCAGAAAAAATAGTCATTACCGTACTGCAGATTGAACATTTACCTGTAATTGATTGTAAGTACTTTCAGGGGCTTCAAGGTGTGTCTGCTTCAGAAGTTGCACCAATAGTCGCAAATCCCATGCTAACTTTTCTACGCCTCTCCCATCTACCGACTTCAACCTACAAGTAAAGCTTTTAAGCCTTCAGGGCATAACACATGGGACAAGAGCTTTGAGAAAATGTTTGCACTCAAATTTCTGCCCGATTTTGATGTCTGATCTAGTCACCAAAGAGCAGGCAAACGATGAACCTCAAACTGTGTCAGAAATTAAGTCATAAGGACTCGGAATTCGCAAGAATATTTATAACTTAGTTGGAAGGTCACTCAAAATTGTGAGTTCCTTCAGAGATTAAAATGTTAGCCGGGCAAGCATTTATAAGGTAATAAGGGACTGTGAATAAACTACACCTTGTATATTTTGCCCAAATCTAGAACAACTTTTTCACTAAATGGAGTTGATGAACCGGAAGCAAGCGCTCAAGACACGATTGGAATATCTAGTCGAAAGCTTGATGGCCGTTTTAGTTTCTCGTGCATGACCTTGCAAATGACCTTGTTCAGAAATAACGAGCATTTTTGAAAAAGAGTAAAGTACCCGAAATATTCTCAGGCACAACTCGAAAGAATATTTGGATTTTACAAGGCTGTGAGGCGTAGTCATTTTATGATGAACTGCGTGGTTATATAGGACGATGGGGAGTATTTTACGGAGACGTATTCAAAAATAAAAGGCAGCGATGCATTTCACACTTTCCGTATTAAAAATAGTCCAAATGAAGTAAAGTTTAAAATAAATAGTCTAATCATATTAGCAAATGTCCCCGAAATAATTGTAAAGTCTGGTTTTATTGGTGCAATTTGTTCAAAGGGGTATTTAAAGCATGCAGACATAAAATGGGTACACCAATTTTTGTGGAAAAACTTTTTATTTGATAACAAAGAATTTGAAAACGTGATTTTTATTATTCAATCGAAAATGTTGACAGGAACGGAAAAACTTTTCCTACAAGACTTTTAGGTATTTATAAGTCCTACAAAATGCGCCCACACGTAAAAAGATCCGACTCACAGCAAAAATGTTATGGCCGACAAACGAGGCAAAATGTACATTTTGGCACTTGGCAATGCGGCGACAATTTCACGCAACTACTTGAAATTCTCCAAATCCGTAGGATTCATACTTCTAAATAATAACAACAACATTGGAGTATATGGGTCAAGTATTTTTTTGGGAATTTCCAATTGTATAACCCAAAACACCTGTTTTCTGGGCATCACTATAAGTTTATCGAGCAATATACAGGGTTCGTTCAAAGAGCATTTAATAGCAAAATACACGTGTTTATCTTGCCGGTATGTATCACGAACCATTCCGAAAGATAAGTGTTATTTTTATGCGAAAGACAAAAGTTACGATTTTTTCTTCTAAACAAATTCAAACATTTCAAATATGCTACGATAACCTAAAAACAAACGTTACTATGCACATTTCAAACCAATGCGGATGTGTCTATCATCTTTTGTTGTGAATTACTCACAAATACGAAATGTTTGAATTTGTTTAGAAGAAAAAACGTAACTCATATTTTTTGTATAAAAATAACATTTATCTTCCGGAATGATTTGCAATTCATATGTGCAAGGTAACCGTATGTATTTCGCTATAAAATGCCCTTTGTAACCCGTATATTGCTCGATAAACTAGTAGTGATGGCCGCAAAACATGTTTTGAGATAAACAGTTAGAAATTCTCAAAGAGTACTTGAGCAATCTTCTCCAATTTTGTTGTGGTTATTTAAAAGTATGAATCCTATGAATTCAAATAATTTCAAATATCTGCGGGAAACCGTCGTCGCATTATGAATAAGTGCCAAAACCTGTAGTTTGCCACAGCTATCGCCCATAAGTTTTTTGCTATTAGTCGGATCGTTTTATCGTTTTACGTGTGGTCTCATTTTGTAGGTCTCATGAATACCTAAAAATATTATATCAGGACCAATAAAACCAGACTTTACAATTATTTCGCAATCCAGTGGTATTTTCGTCTAATATGACTAAAAGGTAAAACCTGCTGACACAGCTCCAGTCTGAGGCTGAGGTTCCAGCATCCCAAGTTGATCGAGCTCGAGGATAAACTATGGACGTCTACTTTTATACTCAAATATTCTTACCAAGACAGCTTAACTTAATTAATGCCCATCTTAAACACAACCATATAATGTTTCGGCCTGACCTCTTTTCGATTCTTCAGGCCAGGGGAGCTCGGGAATGGTTAGAACAGAATAAAGTTAATTACGTCCCGAGACCAGCTAACCTCTTAAATGTTCCACAATTTGGAAAGTGGGCATTTACATCGTTCAACGAAAACATGAGACAAGTCTTGAGCAATTTCACAGTAATGTCAACCTGATAATCAAGACCTAAGGATTACTGTATGTGATTACTCGTGTCGGTATTTTACTCTACATGGACTCTGTCCAGGAAACCACAAAGAAAGAATTCCGTATCTTGGCTTTACACTGAACTAGCTGCATAACAGCGAAGTTCAGCTGTGAGAGGTAGCACCCAATGTGGGCGATAAGAAAAAAGGCCAAACTGTCGTATTTGGCGATATACCGTAGGCACACTAACCATCCTTGCATGGTCTTCAAACCACTGATTAGCGATGGCTTGAATACTACTGAATCTGTCTCTCAAACCCAGAAGCCTTAACCGGCGGTCTTGTCGCTCTGTGGTCCCCGAGTTCACGCTCGTTCACACTGCAGTATAGTGTGTAAAGATCTGTTGGTCTTCCTAGAAACTTCTCTTATCGATAGACCGGCTTCAAGCAACCCGACAATTCGCACTCTAGGCATTTTGAGCAATCACAAAATGGCTTCTCAATAAGCTACACGAAATTTAACACTCAACTGACACCGTAAATGTACAAAAACTGAATGCTTCTTTATTACCAAACAGTACAGGCAGCCACCACAAAAACTCAACAGAAAGATAAATCGATATGTAAAAAATTCTTGAATTCTAATAAACATACGTAGGTGCTCACCTTTTTTGTCACTCAGTATAGATTCCAGAATGTAACCACAATGCAAAGTGAATTATTTTTTGTGATTAAAGAATTTCTCTGTTTGAGTCAAGTGGCTGCTTTCCAAAAATGAATCTGAAGATTCTTTTTTGGGTAACAAATACTAAATATACATTTGGTATCATATCTCTGAAGCAAAGTGGCCCTGATTCTTTCAACTTCGCATCCAAATCCTATAGTTTACAAGCAGCAAATAATGTGAAAAGAAGTGTTTTGCTACGTTAACATATCCTGCTCCAACACACCGCCCTGGACCGACATTTTCAAATCTAGCGCGAATCGTCTAGATACTACTGTTAGTTGTAACTAGCTGTAATCTAATATTTCGAATTAACAGCAAACGTTTAAACAAACTACGAGCACATACATGTACACATGTTACATACTAGGTCAATATTGATAATTGAGATGAGATACAGTTGGAGCTATTTAGGTTATACTCGAACAATAGCTAACTGGCTTCCAATATGTAGATAAATAGAAACATTACAGTGATACAGCTATGTGGTGCTGTGCATCCGTCTGCGAAAACTATCATTCAAATATGATGAGCTGGATTCAGGATGTTTAGGAATTCTAATTACACAAATGTTTCGTTTATATAGCATTCCAGTAACAACAATGTTTTAACTTTACACAAACAAACTGATTTTCACATCCTCCAAGACTTGCTATCCGTTTACATACAAAAAAAAAACAAAATAGGTGCAACAGGCAAGGCTAATACCGGATGTCCTAAAAGTGTTGGCACAAAATATTTATCGGATTTTTTTCTTAATGAAGATGTTTGTTGAAACACTAACTAGTTATTATAAATTACAGCTGAATACTTGACTAAAGTATATTATCGAATTATGTGGAGTGGCCCATTCTGCTCTACCAGACGGAACTTCGTTCAAATGTCTCTCATGAGGTCCTGGATAGAATTCAAATCAGTGTCTCTCAGTTTTCAGTAAATTCGCCGTCTTAATTATTCTTCACCTTGCCCAAAGCCCATAAATTCTCTCTTGGTCGAGCATGCAGCAAGTTTGGAGGATTATCGTTTTTGAAAACAAAAGGTTTTGGGTATCTCTTGAGTAATGGTATGATGCTAGGTCTGGCCAAAACATGATATGGTCTTTAGCATTATGTTCGTGGACAAACTGAAGCAATTTGAAAAGGCTAAGTTATAAAACGTTATAAACACAAAACGATTAGAAAAATCGGAAGGCAGAGATAGATATAAGAGAATATTAAATGAAGAGTCAGCAAATATAGAGGAATTGTACAGTGTGGATGACAGCTTTGTGAAATAGAAGAACTCTATAGGAATGGGGAGATTCGAAATCTATATCAAGGTGTAAAACGACAGAAAAACGGTTTCGAAGCAAAGCCAGTATTTATAAAGAGTAACGATGGACAACTCATTGCAGATGAAGAAGAAATGTTAGCCAGATGGAAAGACTATTTCGAGGAACTGTTGAATGAAAATTTGCGGGAAGACGACGAGCACGGAATTAACGATTTTGAGGAACAGGAAAGGGTGTTGAATGATAAACCACACCTAGATGATATGAGAAAGATTCTAGGAAGCTTAAAATCAGATAAAAGTGCCTGTATAGATGAAGTTACAGGCGAAATGCTGGAATTCGGAGGTGACCAAGTCATTGACGTAATGCACACTTTGATAGGGGAAACTTGGGAAACAGAAAGAATGCCGCGTGAATGGAGTGAGGCGTTAATAAGCCCAATGTTTAAAAAAGGGGATAAAAATATCTGTGAAAACTATAGAGGGATAGCTCTATTGAATGTTGGATATAAAGTGCTAGCAACCTGTACTAAGAGTAAACTTTCATCGAAAATGTTAGGAAGAATAGGAGAATACCAATGTGGGTTTAGAGCAGGAAGGCTAGTGGTGGACAAAATTTTTACGCTTAGAGAGATCCAGGCTGTTGGATACCAACATCAAAAGGATACATATGTAGTGTTTATAAACTTCAAAAAAGCATGTGATACAATCCGAAGATCGGCAGTATACCAAGCACTAAGAGGACTAGGAAATAGTGAAAAGATTATAAGGATAATAAAGTTGACACCTCAGGAAACGGAAAATAGAATAGAAGTTAAAGGAAAATATTCTGAAAAGTTCAAGGTAAAAGTGGGGCTTCGGCAAGGGGATCCGTTGTCAACAGTTTTATTCAACTATGTATTGGAAGATATAATCAGAGCAGCAAATTTAAATAGGAATGGTTTATTATACAGTAGACAGCACCAATGTTTAGCGTTCGCAGATGACATTGCAATTGTTGCTAGAAACAAAAGAGAATTGATACAAGTGGCAAAATATATAATTCTGAGGAGGTCGATCAATTTGTTTATTTGGGATCAACATTCACAAGAAAACCGGGCACAAGGGAAGAAATCAAAGCAAGACTGGCGAAGGGAAATATATGTTTATATAGCCTGAACCATCTCCTCTAAAGCAAGTTGATGAGTAATAAACTAAAAATTAAATTATATAAAAAAGTAATAAGACCATCAGTTACATTTGCTTGTGAAACATGGATCTTGAGGATGGCAGATATAAATACCCTAGAAGTGTGGAAAAGAAAGGTATTAAGGAAAATTTTTGGAAGGAAGCGGAACAGTGGAGTATGGAAAAGAAGAACAAATCAAGACATTGCAGATATGTATAAAGAATCAAGTTTCACAGGATATATAAGAGCGCAAAGGTTGAAATGGTTAGGGCATGTAGAAAGGATGGCAGAAAATAGGATTCCAAAAATGATTGTTAGCAGAAGCATAGGAGGCAAGAAGAGGAGAGGGAGACCGAAGAAAAGATGGAAGAGCGAAGTAGAAGCTGATCTGAGAAGGTGTACAAAACTGGAAATTCATGTGTCAAAATAAGAAGAAATCGAAAGCAATTACAAATAAAGCCTTGGGTCTTTCAGGCTATGTATATATATATATATATAAGTTGTCAATATAGCTCTGATCATTCAAAGTTTTACCTCTCACTCTTCCCACAAAAGGCCGGGATACACCCCTGTCAGAAATTGCACACCAGACAAGGATTTTTCTAAAACTTTCGCTTTATGTTTGTACCTGACATTGTCAGGGCATTCGTTTACGTTATCCGTATAAAATCCGCCGTTTCGCTTTATTTCAGAATTACCAACTTGTAGATAGATGGGGGGGGACCTTTTCTTATTTCTAATTTATACGACATCTTAAAGCGAAGACTTTAAAATAAATATATGTCAACTGACAGTAAGGTAAGTAAACAAACTTTTGTTTCCAAAGGCAACTTGTTATTATGTTGTGGTTGTTGAAAATAGCGCCAATGAATTTTATGCCAGAACTTTTAGGACATACGTTACGGGTGCAGGTCGTCAAGCTACCAGTAACATTTTGCGAGACTTCCAGAAACATTTCACACTATTTTCCTTCCAAACAATTACATAATACTCAAAATATCCCTGTAATTTTTGTCTTTGTATTGCTTTTGAACGAAATAACCACAATTCAGATAAAATAACCATCACAGGGCCAGTTTTTGCGTCACGGACAAACCACTCGCCACAGAAATTCGTAGTTCGTCAAAACTAGATAAGAATGATGTGTTAAATTTATCTGAGATGTAGTTTTAAATGTATTTCTTGCAATTTTTCGTCAGTATAACAGTATGACAGAAAATGTCGAAAAACATTTTGTGATTGTCAGTCGCGTGGAATTGCTGTCCATAGGTTTTATAGATTCCACCACTACTATTAGGATTTCAATAAAAGCTCGTTATTTCATTAATTAAGCCTCTTACAGTTTTTCTCATAACGTATGTCCCATACTCACCACTAACATGCCTTAGCAACACTAAAATCACAAGCATATGAACATTTTGATGAAAATCGCTTACAATTTCCTTGCTAACAGATAAGCCCTCTTCTTAGAAATAACATTGTAGTCACATATGGTTATTGCCGGGAAATGGTAATTCCATATTGAGTAATGGTTTGAATCTGTAACTATGACCGTCGGATTCCTTTTGAAGCTCGTCCAAGCGACGACTAGTAAGCTTAGAGCAGCTATTAGAGCCACTACACAGACGATAACCCATACCACCCTGGAAACAAATGGTTTTGCAACGTTTATCCTGATCTGAAATGATTTGGTCGAGAGTATTGTCAACGAAATGAAAAACTATAGCAGAGAGACGTTCCTGTGTGTGCTGGGAGAGTAACGGCAAATAGGAATAGAGCTGCATCCAAAAATAGGCATAACCCACGATTGAGCCTATGACAGTGATGAAGGAAACATTCTTTGTCATCATGTAAAGAACATAGCCTTGTGATAGGTTTCTTTTTAAACAACTAAGTAGCAGTTTGGGTAGGTATCAGAAACTGAGCTATGAGTAAAATAAAAAAAATCCATCACGTACACTTTCTGAGAAAAACGCTTTTGTAATCTTCCTAGTATATTTGCAGTCACCGTTCTTGGCGGATCAAAGTAAGACTGCCAGTATCCCTTTATACATCTTTATCTCCCTCTTACATACACATGCAACCTACCCCTGGATTTGAACTTTTTTTCGCCAAGCTCAACAACTTACTTCACATAGGTGTGCAATTCGAGTTGACCTGTTATCTTCAATATAAAACTGAACAATACCCGGAAATACGATCAATGGAGAAGGCCGACAGCTCGTGCTAAATTTATTAAAGTATTTACAGGAAGAGAATGAACACAGCGTGCCCCTGTTACACACTTCATGCGTACTGGAGAGAGTAGCAGATGCGCTGAAGATTAGTCTGCGCGGTGTTACGCCCATGGTACAGAGACTCGATCTGTTAACTTATGGCTTTGATGACGTAACTGTCAAGAACGGTGACTACAACTATATCACCGCTTGTTTTATTGTCTCTAATCTCAATTGAAACAGCGAGATCGGACTCATGAAAAATGTGAAGTTATACAGGGTGCTCCTTAATGGTATGAGAATATTTAAGGGTGTGAATCTACATGAAAAATTAATGTTAGTTTGCTTTATAAACCTCGGGGTGGAAAAAATGGAAATGAACTAATATTTTCATAACAGGCTTCAGATATTTCACTGATATTTAGTACATAGTGAAAGTTAATAAAGTTGCATATTTTTCAATGCATAAATAATTTTTAGCTTTAACAGTGGCGTGCGTACGGGTATTGACTTCGATATTTTTTAAGAAAAAAATGTTACGCCAATGGATTTGCCAAACAAAAATTCCCCGTTCAATTTAACACAAATGATCTTTCTTGAATTGTTTTCTTTCGATGCGTCATTTTTGCGTAAATAAATAAAAAGCGTTCTATTGTCCGAGAAAATTAATGTAACAATTGAAGAATGCAATTTAGCAATAAATATCTAATGCTCTGGAATATGTCACTAGCTTTTGACATTTGAGAAGTCTCTGTTATTCAAATCTGTTTGTTGTGAAATCTTTTTCATTATTTAGTTTTTACAATTATTATTAAAATGCAGAAATGGCGGAAATGCATTACGTATATGGCCTTGCCGACGGTAATGGTGAGCAAGACAGACGGACTTATCACCAGAGATATCCCGATCGTGCTTTACCAGATAGTCGAACCTTTTCCAATATTCATCGTCGCCTTGTTGAAACTCGTTCGGTCCGAAAAGGAACATCTGAAGGTAGACCTCTAAGTGTGAGAACACCTGAAATTGAGGAAGTAGTGCTGCACGAAGTCGAAGAACATCCTGAAACGAGTACGAGGAAGATCGCTAGACACTTAAATATTTGCCATCAAATTGTTTGGAGAATTTTAATGAATTTTTGTTATATCCTTACTATATTTTGAGAGTACAGGCATTACTTCCCATTGATTTTCCAAGGCGTGTGACTTTTTGTCAGTAGTATCATCAAAAAATTACACAAAATCCGCAATTTTAGTTAATGATTCTGTTCGCGGATGAAGCTAATTTTTCTCGAAATGCCATTCAGAATTTTTGCAATAATGATTTGTGGGCAGAAGAAAATCCCTACGCCGTAACCGAAACCCATTTCCAACGCCAGTTTTCGGTTAACGTATGGGCAGGAATTATTGGCAACCACTTTATTGGCCCATTCTTCTTGCTGGGACGACTTGACGGACAGGCATACCTGAATTTTCTTCAACAACAGTTTTTGCTGCTTGATGATGTTCCGTTAGTAATAAGAAACGAAATAATATGTGGTACATGCATGATGGTGCACCAGCGCATTTCACTGTAGCGGTTCGTAATTATTTACAAACTGTTTATCCAAATCGTTGGATTGGCCGCGGTGGGCCCCAAGAATGACCACCAAGGTCCCCAGCCTCAACAGTATAGATTTCTTTTTGTGGGGCTATCTTAAGACACTAGTGTACACAAGTCCCATTGACACTGTAGAGGAATTAAGAGAATGAATAGTTGCACTTGTGAACAAAACTCCAGAGATATCTCAACGAGTGCACAATTCCATGAAAAGGAGGGCGGAAGCATGCATACGAAGTGAAGGAGGCCATTTTCGACAATTTTTGTAATCATTTTGTTGGTTTTGATGTTATGTTTATGTTGTCAGTTGTTATTGTTCATCACCCCTAATGTGTTCAATTTTTCCAATTAAATGAATAATAACTTTGCAAGTTAGACAATAGAACGGTTTTTATTTTTCACTCAAAAATGGCGCATCGAAAGGAAACAATCCAAGAGTTTTATTTAAATTGAACGGGAAATTCAAAAATAATTCTTATTTGACAAAAAACCATTGGCGTACCATTTTTTTCTTAAAAAATATCGAAGTCAATACCAGTACCCACGCCACTGTTAAAGCTAAAAATTATTTTTGCGCTGAAAAATATGCAACTTTATTAACTTTCACTACGTACTAAATATCAGTGAAATATCTAAAGTGGTTCTGAAAATATTAATTAATTTTCATTTTTTTCCTAAAACTTCAACACCCCGAGTTTTTGTAAGGAAACGTTTTTGGATCATAGTTTATCAAGTAAACTAACATTAATTTTTATGTAGAGTCACACCCTTGAATATTTGCATTTCATTAAGGAACACCTGGAATGTCCGAGCCATATCAAAGACACGAAAAATCCCACGATACCCGGGTCACATCTGAAAACCGAAATCTGGTATATTTTGTAAATACCCCTAATGAGAGGCTAAAAAGTCAAAACGTCATAAATGAGAGTGAACGGCAACGTGATGTGGTGTTTTATTAAGCTGATAAATATCTACTCTTGAAAGCAATAAATTTGATCAAGATCGTATATCAAGGAATGGCGTATCCAGGGTTGAGGGGTTGTGATTGGTCCGTCCAGTCCCTGGCAGATTGCGAAATAATAGTGAGTTATTTGCTAAGCAGTTGGTATGAATTGGGCTGCAATCTGAGTATGAAGTCACATTTTCTTCGTTCTCATATTGACTTCTCCCCTGAAATTCTTGGTGCCGTAAATGAAGAACAAGGTCAGCGCTCCCGTCTAGATAAGGTTACGCAAGGAAGGCGAGATGCAAACACGTTGGCAGAATGTTGATGACAGATGAGCCGAGGGACAAACATATGGAGAATATGGACATGAATACTGTAGAGAGTAGAAAAAATATCACACGTCTTTTCGACAGTTTACAACTACTTGAACCTTTTAAGTAAAGCCTTAATATTACAATCAACAATTTTTGCATTTCTCATGAAGGCTGATATATAATTTTCAAAGATAAATGATGCGAATAAAAATAAATCTCGATGTCCACTTTAAATTTAAATTCATAGATATTAAAAAATAGCAATAGAAAATAAACCTAAATTTTGTAGGCATGTGGAAACTGTGCTATTTACCTTTCTAGAAGAATCCTTTTCGGTAAGACGATGAATTTGTATCCATGTAACGCAGTATTCAGACAAAACTGTTTCGCTTCTTCTTTTAGCATTTTTTCGAAAAAGTGCTGAGCTCTCTTCTTCTTCTGAATGCTTCCAGCTTCTTTACGTTTCTGGGATGGCTTGAAAGCCACGTTTCTGTTTTTCACATTATTTTTCATGGCTTGTTATGGTAATTATACTGCAAAGTGGGTTATTTGTCCAATTTCGATGTTTGTTCACGTGCCAAGGTACAAATTATCTGGGCTGAATCAATAATAATTTAATATCCCTTTCGCGTTTTATGGAGCATGTGTCATGATACATTATTCATAACTTCCTTCATACATAGGAAATAGAGGACTTACTATCACGAAGCTAAATATAATCTACCAGATTCACAGCGACTATCTTGATAAACTGGATCAAGTAGAATAACTCATCGCTTATCGCTTGCCCCAAACAATGCAGGGTTGCTGTGGAACTGTTGTCTTCCCTAAACGTATTATAGGAAGTATCTTCGCATCAGCTCGGAAAAATATTAAGATCCGTTTTTTTGCATCACCTTATTCAAAAATGACTATTTTCAACGAATCTACAGGTTGACCAAAATTCTGTGCACAATTGAAACAACAGTGTTTTTGAGGAAAACCCCAAAATTACTTCCTAGGCGCACTTTTGCCGAAGTATTGTAATCGCGAAAAATTTCGAAAACGAGATATCATATTTCTTTGATATTATATGAAAGACCATGTCACCCATTTCAGTCGGTCTGTCTATCTGTGGGTATGCGTGTCCGCTAATCCTTGAACCGTCTATAAGTTAAAAGCACTGTTCAGATTTAGATGAAATTGCAATGAAAGGTTACACTATGCCAAGCAGTTTTTCAAAAATCGCTCTAGTGACAGCGACGAAAAATTTCAAAAGCAAAAAATATAAAAATCACTCAAACTTTGCTCTTTTGAGGTTTCAATAGACCACGGACAGCTATAATGTAAAAAACGTTAAAACGTCAAACAAAAACAATAAAACGTCATCTTGCAGACTAGGTAGTTTTTAGGGTGAAAGTAGTTCATTCCACGTTTGCTCGCTATGATCGCTGTGAGCGTCCATCTATGGAGGGATGTCTCAACTACACGCATTGTTGGTTGCAGAAAGCAAGTATATGTTTTGTGAAGCCGATTAGACTATAGTCTTTATCTCTGAGACGTGAATGAAAGAAAGTTGGTTGAATAGCAGGATCGCATCTGGATTATGTGTATTGGTCTCCATGTGTTATTTGCTGTATGAGAAAATTATTACTTAATAAACTGCCAATGAAGTATGAGTATATCAATAATTAGCTGTGCCCGACAGGTTATGTTCAAAGTTATAAATTTCGATTTTTTACGTTTTTTGTGTTTTCAAGAACCATTTTCGCAGTGCCTTACATCTAGCTGCTGATTTGTATTTTCTATTGGCGTAGCAAAATAAATTTCTATAAAATTTAAATGACTGGAAATAAAAAAAATTTAATAACCTTTTACTTTCATAAATATTCCTGTCTGTAGCATTTTCTCCCCTCTTACTTCACCAAACAGGGATTTTCTCCTTTCATCTCTCTCATTTTTGAGATTCAGCAAATTTGCATATGTAATTTCCAAGTTGAATAAGAAAAGGTGGATGCACAACAAATTTCAAGTTTTGAATTCATCTCAAGTATGTCTATTTGACAAAAAAACCAATTGAATTATAATCAACACAGATTATTAACACACACATCCTCACTATGCACTTATGCACTGCCTCTGACGCAGATGCTACATCACATCATAGACAAACATTGAAAGCTAGCATCACGTACACCTACAAAACGAGTTCATAACAAGAGTCCATCAGCTAGTGCTAAGTTAATATCTTGTAGAAAAACCTAATTTATAAAGAAAACGTCATGTAAGAACGGTTATGACCAGAGATAAACCCTTCTAGAGATGGGAAACTCCAATACTAAAATGAGTTACCGTATTTCTGCGACCTCTGGTGGATTGGTCGCACACCAGTGCTGAATAATGGGCCTTTCCATCTTAATAGGACAAACCTAATGGGGCTTTCTACATTCTGTTAATAATAAATCGTCTTACGTAACAAAAACACTCCAAATGGGTTAATTTCCACTTTCTTAGTCATTAATACATGACGCGCATTTCGACACACAGTGGCTTTCTCCAATGCTGGGATGAGTCGCGCGTCACGTATTAATGACTAATATAGCAGAAATTAAACCATTCGGAGTGTTTTTATTACGTAAAATGGCCTGTGGAAAATCTTTCCAGGGGATGCGAAGGGAGGAATTAAAATTCAAGAAATAATTATAGTCATTTTATGGTCAATCATTCATATACAAATTATATCACCTTTTCTCACAAAGCTAAATATAATAATAATAATGTCTTTAGAAATCCATCCACACTGCGAGGCGAAGTTTATCCAGCTGGCTACTCTACCACTTAACCTCACAGCGCAGAAACACATACAAAAAAAAGATATAACAATGAATAGTAATCGACTAACTAATATATACAATAATTAAGGCTTAAATAGAGTAATCTTAAGATGTTATACATCAATACTACATGGCCCGCTCTAACAAAAAAAAAAGAAATATATCAGCTAGCTTGGCTAGCAGACCCCAGAAGATGGTTCTTAATGGCTCTCTTGAATGCAAGTATTCCCTTCTTTTTGCAATTGTTATTAAGACTATTATACACCTTGACAGCGTTGTAGGTGAAGCTACGATAGAAAATGTTGCTCCTATAACTAGGTATATTGAAGTCAGAGTTATGTCTGAGATTCCTGTAATTGAGATCCCCACGTGGTAGTAACCTTTTTAGTAGATAAGCAGGTAGCCTATTGATTTTGATTAGTTGTACTAAAATTAGTAAATTATATGTGAAAAGCTGGTCAACCCTCAACCATCTAAGCTCATTGATCTTCTTAGACACATGGCTAAACTTTCGCAGACCACAAACGAACCTACAGCAGCGATTTTGAAGTTTTTGTACTCGATATCTAGTCACGTAATCAAGACAAGGAAAGTAAACAGCAATTCAATAATTTATTAACGATAGCACCAGAGTCTCAGCCAGTTTTTTGCGAGTCTTGAAATTCAGAATATGGCGATTGTTGTATATCTTCAAATGCATGTATGTTAAGCGAGATAAATGCGTAACATGTTGCTTAAACCTCAAATCTGAATCCATGATGATCACTAAATTCTTCGCATGGTCTACTATAGGAGTATGGGTATCGTTAAGACTAGGAACAATTCGGCCATCTAACCGTTGTACTAACAGTTTTGGGCCAAATAGCATGGTAGAACATTTTGAAGCATTGATCTTCGGACAATGTCTTTTGCAGTACTCTTCAATGTTAACTAGATCTAAGTTCAATTTATATGATGCTGAGGAGTATAAGGATATGTGCAATTACTCAAATATTTGACATGCAATAGTGGAGATCTTACATTCGAGATGAAGAGTGCACTAAACACTCGACTCCTGACAGATTTCACAATTTTCTTTTCAATATAAACTGCAGGAAAACCTACGATTTAAGGAGGGATGTTACTACGTATCGAACCTCCTATCATCATTTATTGCAGCTTGATTAGTTGTTCCTTGGTCACATATTGTGCAGATAACTTTTAGCCCAGCTTGCTGACACCTTGTTATTATTTTCTTCAATAACCTTACTAATATTACTCTTTTTGTAGAGGATCTACAAAATGTGTATGCTAGAGGTTGCTTCCAATTTTTAACAAGCTTAGCTTAGCTTAGCTTTTGGACTTAAGTGGGTTTCTCTGGTTACATGTAACTTATGCAATAATCCAGATTCTGTTCTTGAGGAACCTTGAAATAAAGAATGAAATTGATATTATATATATGTTCAGAATCCATTACAACTGTATTTTTACAAGACAATAAATTCAATAAAATGTTCCATTTCTAATTATAAATGCAAGTGCTTGATAGTCAAAGTTGACCAAACTTCGTTTAAAGTTTATATTACGCTGATGTGATTTGAAACTTCTCCCAACTGTTGATATGATGCTGAAGTTGATGGTTTTCTTGTAACCACACAATTTACACTATCAAAAAAAAATTACATGATCAATTTTATAATGTTTCATACAGTTACTGTGCTATCATCAATAAACTGTTTTGGAGCGCATTCTGGGAATGATTGAAACAACTACCAATGAGATGTTTGCAGTTAAGATAATGTGATCTCTAATTTCCCTGTATAAATATTCACCTTATAACATTCCCAGTGTTAACTGGAGCTCAGTCTAACTTATTCCAAATATAAATAATTCCCATCAATGAGTTGAAATGAGTTTTAAATGGAAAATATTAACTAGATACTTCGTTTATTGAAGAAAGACACCAAACCCAACAATGTTCACACATATTTTATGTGACTTGCTACATGCACTGTGTGGTCTGCCAATGCCAAACCAGGAGGGTGGAGCAGGAGACAACACAAAGGTGCATGTAGCCTCACCAGTCATGTAAAATATGTATGTATATGTTTGGATTTACTCTTCCTTCGATAAACAGACTATAGTTATGTAGTTTCAATCACTTGTACTAAACACTGTTGAAAGTCACAACTTTCCAAAAAGCTGAATATATGTAATTGAAGTTGAGATATGTAAAATTGGGTGATACTAAAAATTAAACAAACCAACATACCAAGAATTTCATCAGTTGCGTTGGATATTTGTTGATCAGGAAGATTTAGTGATGGCACAGCATCCTTCCTAAGTCTGTTGTTACCATAATTGTCTTCCACTGTGAAGTGTGCATGACACACTCTATATCTATTATAAACAGTTATGGGGTCTATATCTCTCACTGCTTCATTACCAATACAATCCACCCATTGCACAAAAACATACATAAATTTCGTCGGGTTTGGAAATCTATGTCGTACTGAAACACTGTCCTGACAGCCTCTAACTGCGCATTTGCGGTACCGAGACATGGTTTCTGAAAAACAACATTCAGTTACAAAAATATGTTCAAGTATGACTCAAGGAAATAGAAATGTTGCTACACATGACAACATAAACAAAATCAAATTTAACTTTTGCAGTTGTAATAATGTAGTAATACTGTAATGATACAATATTGAAATTGATGATTTTAGCAAACATATTTAGATAAGCAGGGCCATTGAGAAATAAGCTCGGGCTCCTATGCCCAAAAATTCTCGAGTCCCCATGCCGAAATATTCTCGGGTCCTTTTCTTGACATGAGCGAACCTAAGGACGTCTATCCATCAGTTCAGTAAGCGAGCCTCGTGCTTCCCTCAGCGCCGAGCCACGAGCTTCTCTCTTGTCGACGGCCCTGAAGTTTTGTACCCATCATCTTAGCCTATAAAACTAGATTATATCACTATACTTACATGCTGCAATAAACAAGCGCTGTAATCACTCAAATTTAACCACACATAAACAAAAAATAAAAGTATTTAACGGTCCAAATCCAAACCACCAAACACAAGAAAGAAAGTAAGCAGTGACAGCTGTCAAATATCAGCTTCCAATTCCGACAAACGACAACAGCGATACCAGCGGCATCCAACGGGTTGATCATCAACTAAGAACACTGTTCCAATTCATCCCATAAGAGTGAATACCCCCTGGTTATGACAACATTGTCACATTTGCGAGCTTAAAAGTTTTTACGAGTTTGTTGGAAAGAGACAGCTATTTTAACATGGAGGTTGACCCAGGAGTGTTCAAAGAGGAAGCAGTACAACCGATAATGGGGAATGAGATGAGTGGCGGCGAATCCCGTCCAAAAACTGAAAGCATGGGCCCATTGATGCAGATTTCATCGGAGCAGAAAACCAACGAGAAACTGATGATGATTATAGACGACCAGGCGAGGCAAATCCGAAAACTCATGGAGACAATCAAGGACCAAACGGCTAAAATTGACAGCCTGACCGCTCAGGTAACTCTTTTAGTAAGTTCAAAAGAATCCCCCACAGATCGGACCAACTGCCTAAAGAGACCGCTACGGACCATTACCGACAATCAATATACCCTTTCTGTATTTTTTTTCTTCGCCCCCTAAATAAAGACGACTTATTATTAATATTGTATTTATTTTCATTGTGCGACCGCTTACTTTAACAGTCAGATGCAAACTAGTATCGCTTGGAATAATCGGCGTCTGTCGGCTGTTGGCTAGTCTGTGCACTCTTCACCAACCAAACTGTTTACTTGACTCCGTGTGCGTACTAGCAGCCCAATCCGACTAAACCATCGGCAGATAGGAAGTCTGCAGTCTGCGGGGGCCCTAACATATTCCAAAAAAACCCTACAGCATCCTCTGCAACAATGGATTCATGTTAGGTTAGATTTTTGCAGTGGAAACAAACTCTATTTTATAAACCAATATTTTCACGCTCAAGGTGTTGATAATGTACCATTAGTCTACTCCGACCTACCGGTTATCGCGCCCAAGACATACCCCGCCACCACATCTGCGCAGATCCAATGTTTTAGGAAGGAAGTACATCAAAGCTCTCGATGCACGAAGACATGCAGATCTAGACATCAACAGGCTCCCATCTAGGCCACCTCCTATTAGAAGTTCCAAACACCTGCATGTAACATGGTTTTGACTGACTTCATCAACAACTAGGAGCAGGAACGGCTAGAGGAGTCTCAAAAATTATATCACTCAATGCCTTATGTATCGTAAAAACGATCTGGTTTTGACTTCCCTAGAAATATTTGTAGTTCAACCATATTAACAAATTGCTCAGAAATAATTGTAAAGCCTGGTTTTATTGATGCAAGCTGTTCAAGGGGGTATTCAAAACATGGACGCATAAAATGGGTATACCAACTTTGTGGGAAAACTTTTTATTCGACAAAAAAGAATGAGAAACTATGTTTTTTGAAATTCAAACGAATGTGTTTTCAGAAACGAAAAAAACTCTTCAAAAGAGATTTTTAGGTATTTACCATATGAGATCCAAAGAATGAGACCATACGTAAAAAGATCCGACTAATAGTGAAACAGTTATGGCAGAGATATAACCCTCAATACTTATCCTGTGGTTTTCATGTTTATCAGACTCCACTGTCTGGTCGTTCTATAAGCATGGTAGACGTACCGATTTTCTCTACAGGTGTAAAATTCCATCTCAGCAGTGTGATCTAGTAACCAAACTACCAGATTGCAAGTGAGTGCGTATGATACCATCCGCGCGCCTCCCGAGTCGATGGACTATGTAAAACATTTTGACATCTGATTATAGTTACTATAACTAAGTATTGTACTATACCTTTCACATAATTATGCCTATTAATGTACAAGTACAATGTGCGCCATGCACTAAATGAAGATAGTAATATCGTACTATTTTTTTTCGAAATGTTAAATGTTGATTTATCTTAAAACATGATGATATAAAGTGGATGCTCTTGAAAACTGGCTTTGACTGTATCCATAGTAGAAAGAACGTAGACTAACCATGAACCTTCTTGTTACAGGTAGAATGTCCAGGATGTAATGTCATCGTTAGCGTAATGTTGCCCCGCCTGATACCCCTAGTTTTGTTACTAAGGACATTGGGCACTCATGGAGGGAAAAAGAGCTGCGGAGGTACCTATACTGCTGCTAGAGGAATACTACAAACGTCTAATTTCCCAGGTATGATCCAATAATGCAGTGTAGGCTTCGCTTAGACAAATGGAATCATTCAGAGTGCCATTAGACACAAAAGCACGCACACTTCTGAACCCAGGTTCACTATTTACTTGTCAAGTGCGGATTTTGATTTTCATCAGTTATTCTCATTAGTTATGGTTCTACCAGTAATACTTAACACACAGTTTCTTACGATATACACACAGGGTGATTCCAAGAGTAGTGGCTGATGGTGATGTTCTTAAGATCAGAAAATAGGTCCAAAATAAGTAAGAAACGTTCATATCAATGGGTCTTCTAATTCCCCCTTGCGGAGTTGAACTTTTTATTTTCTAAATAATGTTAACTTTATATAGTGGTAAAGGCTTATGCAATACAAACAAAACTTTTTATGGCTCTAGCTACACCAATAACATAGAAAGAGGGATATGACCCCTACACAATGAAGAAAATACTTTCTACGCCTCTGGCCTTTGTAAAATATATTCTGCATTTTTAGATGAGGTACTGAATTTTACATAAGTTGTCTCTATTTTGGTTTTGATTGAATGTCTACATCGTATTTCGTATTAAGAACTTGAACTCGTTTGATTTTGACAATATGTGCATATATGGTATAGTGAAATAAACCGATTTTCAGCATATTTAGGATACATATATGTATATATAAGCGACTTAAATATTATTATTCATAATGTGATATTTTAGGACCCATGTTCGTAGGAACTATTTTTGAATGTATATACTCCATACACTACAAACATTGTAATTCTGGTTTACCTTGAATAATCACCATCGAATCTCACAAGATGAACTCACTTTATCAGGATATAGACAAGAACTGGCCCTTATTATGCCTGCTCCTTATGTTGAGTACAAAAGTGCCTTCGTACCTTCGTATGCTCTAGTTCAAGAAATATTTACATTCCAATTCATCAAAGAACTGTTCTGCAACAATCACGCGCTTGATCATTTAAGAAAAAGTTCAAACATTGTTCTTTATCGTAACATTTCGTTTCAACCAGTTCTGGGATCGTTCTGGAATATATTTGTTCTGGTGAATTCTTCACATGAGTATAATCAAATTATAATCGAACGGCAGGGATGTTATATAAAAAACCTAAAAAACGTCAAACAGCCGACGAAATGTCATCTTGCAGACCCTAGTTTTTAGTGTACATATAGTTCATTCCACGTGGGCTCGCAATGATCGCTGTTCGCTGACGTTTAAGCAACGCATAAAGCTACAAAACGAGTTCACAACCAGTGTACAACCACTTATGCTAAGCATACATCTTGTAGAAAAACCTACGTTATGTCACAAAAAATCTACAAAATATCTAAAAAACAGACAAATGTCACTTTTCAAGATACGTAATAACCTCTGCCGTCCTCATACGATTTGAATTAAAACTTGTTTTGAAAGTTTCAGTGTCTCTTTTAGGATATAAGTCCTTGATACAGTACCATTGTTGGTGCTTGATTTATAGGACTTATGTCGGACGTTCCAGCCAGATTGCCCTCCCTTGAGCACGCAAAATGTGGACCTGGCAACCGCGCTAAGGTCCTTACAACAAATAATAAGCCCACTGATTAGCGATACAAAAGCGTTGCAGGCGATATTTCCCGTAAATGTCTAGGTACAATAGTAGACAGCCTGCATTCATCAAAATTCTTTTTTGGAATTGTTTGGGCATGAGGGATATTCCCAAAAAACGGGAATTTCATCAAGCTCTTTTGGATGAAAGTATAGATGTGGCCTTGCTGCAGGAAACGTTGCTTAATCCGGGAGATCGTTTAGCTCTCCCGAATTATGATGTTATCCGAGGTGACAGATTGAATGGTCGAGGCGGCGGTTTAGCAGTGTTGATTAAACGCGGTATAGACTATTATAGAAGCACTAATGCGAAGATGCATAGCATCGAAGCAGCTTCTGTGGTGGTCAATATGGCGGGAGGTGTCTCGTTGAAGATCACATCGGTGTATGTCAGGTGTGGTGCCAGGCTACAAGAGGCGGATCTGGAGGTCCTTTTGGACTACTCGGGTCCGCTTATTGTGGCAGGGGACTTCAACTGCAAACATCGAGCATGGAATTCTAGGTTGAATTCCACTAGTGGGGTTCGATTGTACAACCATGTGATGCGAAATGGGTACCTTATACATAGCACTGAAGAGCCGACACATCATCCATTCAATCATCTTCAGGCGCCAGATGTCATCGATTTCGCGATATCTAAAAACTGTAGATACAGTATCTCTTCTCGGATCTTGTATGATATCTCTAGTGACCATCTACCTGTTGTCTTGGATGTGGGCAATGAGCAAACTTCTGAGAAGGCAGCTCCTCCAAGGAAACGCATTGATTGGGACCTATACAAGTTGCTCCTTAGAGAGTTTCCCAATATCCCGATTATAGATGATGAGTCTGGAATAGATGCCGCTCAAGCGGAGTGGACAAGTTTCATTCAAGCAGCTCTACAGCGTGCAGCTGTATTTCCTGTACAACGACACGGCAGACCTTTTTTGCCTGCGGACATTCGTCAGAAAATCTCTGACAAAAGAGCCGCTATTAAGCAGGCAAAAAGGAGGTCTTGTCATCCTGATGACATTTTTAGGGCTACAAATCTTGTCCATGAAGTGAGAAACGCACTGCACGGACTCTCCGCAACGCGCAATGGAGCGACTTTCTGGCGGGAATGCTTGATTCAAGTATTCCTCTCTGGAGGGTCGCAAAGTCACTCAGAAACGGAAAGCGAGAACAACTCCCACACATCCACGGTCCTGAAGGCATAGTCTTCAGAACGGAGGATAAGGTCGAGGTTTTCGCTGATGCCATGGAAAAACAGTTCTCTCCCAACTATGATCTCGATAATGACCTCGACGAGGAACAGCACATCGTACGATCCGTCAGGAGATATTTTAGAGCCAACGGCGTTAGCGGAGGCACTGAATCCTCTTCAGATGACTCTTCTTCAGAAGATTCGTCTGAGGCTCCACATAGCACACTAGCGGATCCCTTCGAGTTTCCACATTGCACACCAGCGGAGCTCCTAAGTCATATTAAAGACCTCAAGGTGCGTAAAGCACCTGGGGAGGATCAAATCACCAACAAGGCGTTGAAGCTGCTCTCGCCGAAAGCCCTGACATACTTGGTGACAATAATCAATGCGACGCTCAAAATCCAGTACTTCCCTGCTCGGTGGAAGACTGCTGAGGTCATCATGATTCCAAAGAAGGTGTGTTCGATATTTCCTCAGGATTACCGTTCCATAAGTCTGCTGTCAGGTCCTTCTAAGCTCGCCGAAAAGGTGATTTATCGTCACCTTGAGAATTTTTCGTCAAATCACCATGTGATTCCTGACGTCCAATTCGGTTTTCGGTCCGAGCATAGCACCGAGCTACAGGCAGTCAGGCTGGTGGAGCATGTAACCAGAGGGTTCACCCTCAGCATGAGTACTGGCATCTTGCTTTTGGATGTCTCAAAAGCCTTTGACAAGGTGTGGCACGCGGGCCTCCTCTATAAACTAATCCAAAAGGGTTTTCCTTTTTGGCTTCTAAAATTACTGAAATCCTTTCTTGAAGGAAGGAAGTTTCGGATCAAAATTAACAATGTTTTGTCAACATCACGGCCAGTACGGGCCGGAGTTCCTCAGGGTTCGGTCCTAGGACCAATTCTTTATTCGCTTTTCATCCATGATGTCCCTTCCCCCAGCAACTGTGAAGTCTACCTCTATGCTGACGACACTGCACTTGTCGCCCAGTCGTGTACTGGTGATCTGGTTCACGATGGGTTGCAGAATGCGGTGGACGAAGTTCTAGAGTGGGCGGAACGGTAGCTGATAAAAATTAATCATTCGAAAACGCAGGCCATTTATTGTACCAAAAACGTCGCGGCCCCCCTGCAGAGGTTTCTGTACCATGGACAAATTCTGCCAAGTATCTCGGTGTCACCCTTGATAAAGGCATGACCTGGCAGAAACATACAGCATCCATAAAAACAAAATTCCAAATTGCGTTTCGGCAACTATATCCTTTGTTATGTAGATCCTCCAAATTGAGTTTGATAAACAAAGTTCGACTATATAAAATGATTATTAGACCAGCCATTACTTATGCATGTGCGGCTTGGTGTTTTCTTGCCAAGTCACACATGCAAAGTCTTCAAGTACTGCAAAGCAGAACTTTGCGGACAATTTGCAACGCTCCATGGTATGTCTCAAATGAGACACTACACAGAGACCTTGACATTCCTTACTTGAGGGATTATGTCAAGCTTCAGGCGCACCGACGTTATAGTCAAGCGGAATCGCACAGCAACCCTCTGTTGCGTGACTCAGTGGACTACACAGTGGAGCAAGTTCGTAAACATTCAAGGCCACGGTTCGCACTGTAATCAAAAGTTGTCGTGAACCTTTAGAAAACTCAAAATTATACTCTAACAAAACCGAATCAAAAAATTTGTTTAGTTCACCTCAAAATTAATCCGTGTACCAAGTCAAAAAGCCTAGGTGTTTCATCTTAAACTAAGCATATCTGTTTTTCTTTGTTCTTCTCCTTTATTCTTCTCTTTCCCTTTCTCTTTTTCCCTGACTTTGTCTGGTTTCTGGGCAACCAGGACTGACAGATTCGACTAACGTACATCAGACAGTGACTAATGGGCAAAGGTCCTACGGACCGCCCAGACAAATAAGTGACGGATAGTTCCAGCCAGATTGCGTTAACTATTTTCTCACAGTACGCAGATGACGTGTATGTTATATCGTTCCTCAAATCCAGGTCGCGCGATCATCAATAAAGAAGGGACCACGTGCGAATTAATGGACTAATAAAATAAGTGGGGAATGGAGTGTAAAGGTTGATTCTCACTATACATTCCGTTTCCATTCCGTAACCGTTCCGTAAATTATTGAAATTAAATATTCGCCTTCGCTTAAAGCAGGTTATTGCGTGTGTATGCACATTATCTGTAAGGTATACTGTGTATACAATCAAATTCTCCTGAACATTTACGAAACTGATATGGAATGAAAACGGAATGTATAGTGAGAATCAACCTTAATGCGCAAAATACTGACTGTATCCATTCAGTTTTGCGCGGAAACACCGAAATGTAATTAAAATCGAAACGAGACGGTGCCAATGCGTGGGGGATTAAGAAACCTTTTGGAGTTGAGCTTAACAAGAGGCTGTCCCCAAAATTTCAAATCGCCTACGTAAACCTGGACCCCATAATTGCATTTTGGATCCTGGAACTGTGCAAATTCTACCAAGGATAAGTCAGACAGGCTTGAATTTAATCGAAGTCTGCTCGAATGAAGCCTATAAGGTTGCAGGTAGGTTTTCGTGTTGCCTTCCATCGAAAGAACTTTGCGAGATCCTTGGTGAAGGTCCCTACCATATTTGCAACAGAAAATGTCAGTAAAGCTACCAGGAATAACCAATAACCGCCACTTAGCCCTTCAGCAGCCGGGGTATCAAAGGCAGTAGACAACACAATGTATTACATCCCTCCACAAGGGTTGGAAGAGGAATCCCTCCAGCCTTAGCACTTCCCCTTCGTCAAGGAGGATTAATAAAGCCACGAGTGTAGGGCAGATCTGATGGAAGCTCTACTCGTATTACCATCGGATACTCGCACAAATGAGATCGCTCCTGGCAGATACCTGGCACAAATAATATTAGTATTTTAGGGAGAGCCCAATGATAACTGACTCAGGCGAAGAATCAAATGACCATCTTGCGGCTGCTATCTGTTGCTTTTTTTTAATAGAAATAACTTCGTAATGTTATGTAAGCAAGATAAATAAATTTTGATTGATTGATTGATTATAGCAAGTACTTCACTACTTCGTTTTGTTCTCAGGACCTTTCAACGTGCCATTGGATTGCGAATGGGTGATCGACGCTCAATACATGACAGAAGCCAACTCATCCATTGTCGTATACCTGACCCAACTGTTCGTCTTTGAAGGCCTAACTTTCACTGAGTACCTACATTATGGCAACGGTTACAACATCAACCCCAAAGTTATCCATACGGTAAGCCAAATATGTTTCTTATTTCTTTTCAAACATCTTGTCGCTGAAGAGCCAGCCTCTTCCATATTTATATCAGGAGCTATGCAACCTTAATACCAAGGCGTCTGCTTACAGATACCCTGTTGATTCAGTCTTTGAACTGCCTGTAATTTATAGGACTGGGTAGATTGTTTCACATTTTTATAACGCTATGAACAAAGGAGCGATCGTACCGACCAAATCTGTATGTACGACGTTCGACTGACTTGGGTTGGAAGGCAGAAGCCTCGCGAGTCGATCAGGCTAGCTCAACATGCCACGGTATCAAAGAGAGATGCTCTGACGAGCAAAGTCCATTAGCATAGCCGTACAGGTGTGAACAGTGTAGTCGGGAGCGGCAGCTTACCAAACATGTGAATAGTACTCGAAAGTGGGCCCTACCTAGGCCTCGTACATAGTGAGGGCGTTATGTGGGTCCTTGGCAGAAGGTGTAGTACTGTGAACACTACAACGATACCAAATCGTTGTGTCTCCAAACAATGATAACTTTCAGATCTCTTGTCAGGGAGAAAGCCACTACTAGCCTTCTCATCGCCTTATTGGCAGAAATCGGCCTGGCACTGTGAATAGCTGCATGTAAGGTGCTGTCATCAACGAAGATGTAGATCAAATTGATCGTACAGGAGAAGAAGTTGATGCATTGGCCCTAAGACCGATCCTTGGGGGAACCCGGCGTTGAATTATGGGTTGAAGAGGAGTACGTTAATTACTGAGGATATCTTGCAGCTCGATATATATTTTTTATAAAGCTATATTACAACAGCTCATTTAGAGTATATCTTCTATTTTAGGTCAACGAAACAAACATCAGCAAGGTACGCTGGGTCCAGTCTTTCCAGAGCTTCCTGGTTATACAGCTGAAGCTACCATCCTTGGAAAGCGCGCACATCAGAGTTTTGGATAAGTTCTTGGATGTCTTCGGCTTCAACGTCACTTACGAGATCAACACCGGAGTTGTGAGGCCTAATTCATGTACGATGATGGACTGCGGATTCACAGGAGTGTGCTACGATCATTACACGTAAGTGTGACTCTTTCTCTAAGCATTTAGGTATTTCAGTATTTGGTCAAATATATTCTATAATTTAGTTTAAGCAATGTAATGTATTGGGAGGCGAATATTGTCCCACTTCATAAAACTACTGTCCGGTGCATAGAGTGTTACATAATGTAATGAGTATTACATGGCAAGCTAAACATGTAAAAGTTCATATAAACATTGTCCCGGAAATTATTAGTTTCCATAACACGTAGATGTTTACACTTGTTCGTCTTTGGTGGTCTACCTTGCACTTCTCTTTTTTTTATACTGCGCATAAATTTATATACTTGGACTCCGCGACTGCTATGGAGATTTTTGAACTGTCAGAGAACTGGAAAAAACCTTCTCAAACAGGTATATCCAAATGTGTTACAACGCGTACACAATTACTTTTTAAAACACTTACGTGACATGAATGTCGGCAAGTCTCTATGTGTAGCGAAAAGACATAACGCCACTGGTTTATGCAAGAGACAATATCAGTGTTTCAAAGTCAGATTGATTCCCTTAAAAAACTGGCTTCTTCAATTCTCGTTCAGACGCACGGTTTTAGAAATAATTAAAATTGATATGATTAATAAATTTTCATTCTATTAATCGGGTAATGAGACTGCTTATTGTTATTGAAAGACAACAATCGACTACCGATCTGGAACTTTTAATCACACTAATAGCGAAGAAAATACTTTTCATGCACAATCATCATGAATTTAAGAAAGCGACACATATTTCCAAAGAAATCACTATATATGAATCTAAAATGCAAAGCAAGTTTTTCCAAAAAATACTCGGCTATCCAAAGCTATGGTTTTTTCCCATAACCTGACGACAGTGTAGCACACTTTCGATCTCTCATGTCTCTTGGCTTGAGTGAGACGTGAACCAGCGAGAATCGTTGAATCACCACACAATCAGCTCATTCGTCGACCCTGAAGGAACTTCAAGTTGAAAGTTGTGCAGTTTTGAGTTCAGTTTTTAGTGTTATCTTAGCGAAAAGGCTAGAAGCACCACGCGAAGAGATGAAAAATCGGAAGAAAAAGCCTTGTTGCGTCATTAATGGTAATTACCATATATAGATATCGCAAGGGTCACATTTGCGATTTTCCCTAATGTGCTCTATCCAAAGTGTTAATGTGTTGCGCCTACCAAAGATAGACTCCAGCATCACGTGGCCAAGTAATGATGCAAATCCTCTTTTCATTCCAAATAACGGGTGATTTTTTAAGAGGTATAGGATTTGATTTTCAAAAAAGCACAAAAAATTTTAAGAAACGATTAAATCTTTATTTGAGTCGATAGAACGGTCTATATAATTTAATGTTTAAAGATTATTTCATGTAAATGTTGGCCGCGGCTTTGCTTTAGATGGCCCATGCGCAAGGTCCAATTTTGGCACACTCTCTCCAACATCTCGGCCGGTATCTCACGAATAAATGCTTCAATATTGGCTTCCAGTGCGTCAATCGTTGCTGGTTTATCCCTGTAGACATTAGCCTTAACATGGCCCCACAAGAAATAGTCCAACGGCGTTAAATCACACGATCTAGGCGGCCAATTGACGGGCCCCAAACGTGAGATAAACTGTTCACCGAACTCGTCTCTCAATAGGGCCATGGTTTCGTGTGCGGTGTGGCATATGGCACCGTCTTGTTGAAACCACATGTCATCCAAGTCCAGCTCTTCCATTTTGGGCAAAAAAAGTTTGTTATCATCGCACGGTAGCGCTCGCCATTCACAGTTACGTTCCGGCCATTGTCGTCTTTGAAGAAGTACGGCCCGATGATGCCACCGGCCCATAATCCACACCAAACAGTGATTTTTTCAGGATGTATTGGTAGCTCTTGCAATGCCTCTGGCTGGTCTTCACTCCAGATGCGGCAATTTTGCTTGTTAACGTACCCATTCAACCAGAAATGAGCTTCGTCGCTGAACACAATTTTTCGATAAAAATGTGGATCTTCCTCCAACTTTGCCAGCGCCCATTCACCAAATGGGAAACGTTGTGGGAGGTCGTGTGATTTCAATTCTTGCACCAGCTGTATCTTATAAGGTTTTACACCCAAATCCTGTCGCAAAATTTTCTAGTGGAGCAACAGAGGCCCAATTGCTGCGAACGGCGGCGAATCGACATCACTAACACTGGCGGATACAGCAGCAATATTTTCTTCAGTCCTCACTCTACGTCTGCGTGTTGGTGGTTTAATGTCCAATAATGTTAACTGGGTTCGAAATTTAGTCACAAGCTTTCGAATAGCTCCCTCAGTTGGCTGACCAAATTGCCCATAAATTGGAAGCAGTGCTCGATGCACTCTCTTAACCGAGCATGAATTTTGATAGTAAAATTCAATAATTGGCAAGCGTTGTTCGTACATAAGTCGATTCATGGTTAAATTATACACCAAACTGAACAAGTTTGACAATGGCACAAGACACGATTCACGCTTCATCTGTCAAAAACGGTGTTGCCAAAAAGATACTAGCAAAAAAATCACCCATTACTTTCTTCATCAGAACAGTTCGGCTGGACATAATGCGACACAGGCTGAGAACAAGTATAGATCATTAAGTAAAAAACCGAAGTATCATAATTTATGAATGTCTCAAGTTCATTCCACAGGTGAATAATATCATCAAGGATTTTTTTTTCCTTCTACGCCAAGTTTACCTAAATAAACAATTTCTTGGCTATCAAACGAAAAACATTTCGTGCAAATCTCTGAGTATGTCTAAAATTACTTATTGTGATCTAGTTTACGCTGCACTTTTAGACTCCACTTTTTTACTGCGCCTGCAAAAGTTAATCCCTGTTGTACTTTGTTCAATAACTAAAGAAAGAATGATCATATCAGCTCTTATTTTAAAGAAACGAAATGACTAGGAGTAGAAGAACTATATGAGATACACAGTCACATATATGTACTCATTAGCTTTAACTCACAGCCATTCCTCCCTTTTAAAGGATAAACTGATTCCTAAGAGTTAGATTCACACGAGTGATATTCGATTTGCGTAGACTCTTACGATGCCTCTCCACAAGACAGCCCTCTTTCGTAAATACTTCACATACAATGTAGTTATTGTCTATAACGGACTTCGACGAGCCATAAAATTGCTAAATTATGAAAGATTTAGAGAAGACATTAAAATATTTATTTTGAATAAATTGTTTTTCCAGCCTTTCACTTCACAAAACCTTTCAATGTAAAATTTCCTTAAACCTGTAATACTGTTATAATTCTTACCCACAACTTATTAATACAACTGATATTACTTTTTTTAACATTAAAATAATCTGTCTATTGTAGTTTTTTTAAGTGCAGTTATGTCACGACGAACATGCGATAGGGCAGCGTCATGCTCTAGAAAAGCTAAGTATGAGTTTGCATTTGCACGTTGTGGCACTACGTGCAAACACAGTTGGGCATTGAAAATATCGCAACAGACATTTTTAGAAAATGTGCGTCGAAAGGAGTGGATTCTTGTGGAATAGAGATTTTCTAACGACCAGAAATGTTCAAATGTTCATTATGAGAATTAAAGGTTCCACTCCTCGTAAAAAGCGATTCATCTGACAACAAAACCAATTCAATAAAACCTGCATTTTGATTATGCATTTGCAGCAACCACTCACAAAAATTTCGGAGTTGCACTTCGTCGCCGGAATGCAGGAATTACACATTTTGCCGATCTAAAATTCTCCTCTTAAGACTTTGGGAACTTAGTAACTGGGCTGCAGTCCGCCTAGTACTTGTACTAACGCCAAATTAATCACTTCCAATTCCTCTTGAACAGTATACCCGACACCATGACCTCTAACTCCGAGAAGTTTGGGAATTCCATATTGTCGAAGTCTTAGAAAAAATGAACGCGTTTAAACCTTTGGGGTAGGTTAGCGTCTATCAGTAAATCTGCGTTGATTCTCCCGGGGGGCGCTTAAGCAGTTCCATTACAGAACCCGTACACAAAAATAATATCGGCGTACTCATCATTGATAAATTCTATTTCACAACACTCAAAAATGGAACAAAGAAACCTTTGATTTGACTTTTACAAAAAACAATGGTAGTGATAACGATAACAATCGTATAACACATAACTTTGATAAACTATCTTCCAAGAAATGTCAAGTTGGTATGAAGCCCTCCTATTTAATTTTGAAACTAATTGTATCTCGGCTCTTCATGAATGGTCTAATTTGTTTAATTTTTATTTTTACGAAAACAGTGCACTCTAAGAAAGAAACACAACAGTAATTATTTGTAGCAAATTGAAGATAAAATTCGAAAAATTGCGCGTTTCGTGAAAAAAAACAGCGACGTACTATTTTTATTTGGAAAAATAATGTGACTAATCCCCTGTATCTCCGACACTGGAGCAAGTTAATTTTAAGTAAGGTTTTGAAGATATTAAAGAATTTTTTTTTTATTTTCAAACTTTAACACCCCGTATTTTTATAATGAAGCCCTCCAGGAAAAATGTTACACAGAAGACTCCCCCTTAAAATGCGGTCCTGTGTATTATGTTACATTTTTGGTCACGACTTGTGACTCACCTTGTATTTTTTGGTGGTACCAATATGCGCAGTTCATAAATTTTCCGCACATCTTCTGAATTAAACAACGTAATAATTATAACATCTTCAATTTTGATAATTATCCCACTCTACCATTTTTGATACACCTCGATCGCAAGTTAGACGAGTCGGGTGTTGAATGATGCAAAGCCGACCGAAGTAGGTCATCAAAATTAATGACCTGCCCACATTCTTTATTCATCGAGCTTTAAAAGGTGTATCACGAATAATTTCTGCCCACTCAGCAGCAAAGCTGGATGAAGCCTGCCCTGACTTTAATTTCGCTTATGTAAATCTTCTCGAGCTGAAAAAACGCTGTTCGACAGATGGCCCAAGAGCCAGAGGCAAATAACTTTTACAACGTTTGAACTACAAAAACAGAATTTCGAAAAACCTTACATTACTGCGTC